ACTGTTGGGCGCGGTCAATGCTTGAGGCTGATTGGCCAAATAAACTTACAAATATGAACTTCTTGCTGCGTTAGTCGTAATTAGCGCATACGATGTTTTGGAATTACCGGCGTGGTTGGAGCATCGAAAAATATTTTTTTCAGGGCATTGAATTTCGTTCTTTTTAATCCGTTTTGCTAATCTAAAAAAATCCTTCCCCAATTTTTTTCACATCTAAATAATCAATGCCCCTTATTGGTCTTTGGCCTTTGGTCTCTCTACCCTATCACAAACAGCTATTTTAAAGTTACTTTGACAAGTCGGGGCTATGTAGATCGCAAAAAAAAAAAATCACTTGAAATATTGCGTATACTGTAAGTTGAAAAAGAATTATCCTTAAAAAAAAATTTTCCACTCGCGTGCTCTCCTCTTAAAATTGAAATCGTTTAAAGCCTTTCTAAGAGTTTATCTACGATTAACTGTAGTGTTGATGGACAGGTTTACAATAAAAAAAACATGTTTCTCTCTAAAAAAAACCTCTTGTGAATTTTGTAATTACCATAACTTCGTGGTAAATCAGTATTCTCGTCAGAAGTCTTACGTCTAATGAGATTGTAAGGTTTCAACAACATGAAGAGATTTCTTCAAAGTCTCGATGCGCCTTAGGTCAGGTGTCAGTTATCGAATGACATTTCTATTTATCGGCACCACGAGACCAAGCTAATAACGTTCAAATAACACACTGAGCTCAAGAAGCAATATCACAGCTAGTCTAATGCGACATCATGTTAATTCGACTTAGTGCAATTGATACAGTAATTCTCGTAGCTGTGCTTAATCCTTGTATATTCGGTATCTCCCGTGGTGATAAGTTGTGTCACGCCATGATTGAAACTGATCTTTCACCGACTAATGTTTTGCTAAGAGTGAGGCCATTAGCAGATTTAGAGATTAAAAGGGGTCACAACAGAAATAGATCACAGTTGCTATAAATGACCACTAATATTTCAAGACTCATTAGACGTCGTTTATATGATAATCGATGACAAAATTCCTCATGTTAAAGGAAGAATACCTTCAGGCGTTTGGTGGCCTAATACGTCGATAAATTTTCCCTCAAATGTCAAGTTTCATAAAGTTAAGCCTTTGGCAAATGATTTCCTGGTTTGAAGAGCGGTTGTAAACGGACCACTCTGGAACTGTCAAAGAAGCAGAACACGATTTGATGTTTGTTTCCAGAGCAAGAAAACGAACTGAGCTGGTTTACCACCATTGAGTCCCTGTTTTGTCTTCTTCAAATAAGAGACGATTTTTCTATAGGAGACTTCCGGAAACAGAATTCTGATATATAAGCAAACCCTAAAGTCTTTATACTTGAAAGTGACGCTCCCTAACTAGCGGTTCGACCACACTTCATTATTTTGCAAATCAAACTATGGATTGAACAAGGGCTGGTAAACCGACCTTCTTTTCAATTTATCATATTTTCAATAAGTCACAAAATGAAACAAAACACAACAAAGCTTGCAAAAGGCTCTTCAATACAATATTTATACAATACAATATTTATTTTGCCATATACGAAATTTACAGATGGAAAAAAAAAATGAAGAAAATTGATGACAGAGAATAAATGGCGAGAAAACCTGAAAGAAACCACGAGGCTTATAACAAGTCAGGCTTTCTCACTTAAAATAACTAATCTTATATTAGAATTACAATATGGACTTATGGTAATTAACTTTGACCGCGCACACGTACACACACACACAAGCACACACATATTAAGTAAGTTAGTTAAGAATTACTGCCTTACAGAAGTTAATACCTAGAGAGAAGTTAATACCTCTTCGAAGAATCATAGCCAAGAGTACTCGCCGCAAAGTATACAATTCCTATATGAGCGTCGATGAAAGAACGCTTGCTAACTGTGCTTTATACTCATGAACTTTAGCCGTAGATTTGTATCAAGCATTTTGGTTGCGTACTAAGTGCACTTCTGTTTTCATATATGAGCATATCTCTATGATAAGGAAATGGTCACTAGTTATTCATTGGTGCTTTTTTTTCCATTAACATATATGTTTAAGTAATTCGTGAAAAGGGGCTATACTTATGGGTAAGAGGTTACACTAATACTGTGAAAATTTTCAGAAGGACAGATGTTTTGAAACTAAATTTCTTCCCTGTTCAAATGCCGGTTAAAAGAAATATGTTTTTCTCGTGTGGATCTTGTGATCGATCATATTTCGGCCGTACATAAATCAAGGTCGGCCAACATCTTGTGAGCTTCTACCAAAAGCTAATAGCCGTGAGAAAAATCACAGAGAACAATTTGTTCTCTTGACCTTCACTGGTAAAAATGCGTGATGTGAAATCGAATAGTTATGATGCAAGCTGCAAAAGAGCCAGTTGCACAGGGTGCTAAAACTGAAACATGCTACTAAACGTATCATAATATATGGATTAGTCAACTGCAGTTTGCAAACCGAATATTTTGTGCTAAGAGAGGAAACGACCCCAGACATTCAACATCAACTCTCCCTTGCTCTTTGACCACTGGGCGTATACCTAGATGTTTTTGTATACCTGTTGTTTTCATAGGAAAGTTGAATGTAGCTCGCTCGCGTTCGCCAGTACTGATACTGAATAAAGAAGGCTGTTCAAAACGAATGTCAAAAGGAAGTAAAGGCCTCCAAATTTTTGCGAAGAATCTCATTGATTCTGTGCTCTTCTGACTGCTTTTGTATTATACTAAACTGAATATTTAAATGGGACAGTTTGGTTTGAAAAACTTTTCTCCGAGTTAAAGTCTTCAAGCAAAGTGACCATACAGAGATTAGTAACCGTTGGAAACCGTTTATGTATTTGTTTTAAATAATCTTTTCTTCCGATACAAAATTGTAACATCCATCGAGCAAGTTTGGTAAACTAGTGTGAACAGCCCAAATTATATGCTTTTCTTTATAGATATCTATTGGTAAAAAAAAAATAAATTAAAAAAAACCAGAAATAAAGAACTCTAGGTTGATAACTTCAGGGAGAGAAATATTTAATACATTAATCATTAATTAATAAGAATTAGAGATTTGTCAACAAATGTAAAATCCTTTTCCAAAGAAGCAGTCGTCCGACAAGAACGCTATTCATTTCCTTAAGTATTAACCACATCTACGATGGTCCCATCTCATCGACATAAATTTCCTTGCACCTTTTCTATTCGAATGCTTGCGTGCAGTTTGTACGGCAACCAATTTTTCCAAGAAAACGCGTGAACATCATAGGACATACCTAACAACGTTCCCACATGTACTCATGTGATGTTAAGGGAGTTTTTGTTTTCATTTATTTACCACGGTCTATCAATAAAAATTCGAGGAATGCATCTTACGTCCCATGAAATATTATTTTTATAAATATTTGTTTTTCTCGCACGTGTTTATCGCTTTTTTGCTTACAAAACTTGTTCACCAGACCAAGTCCAGAACCCAGAATAAATCATGATGGCCATTATGGACACTTTTATCAACTAAAATTGGCAAAACCAAAAGAAAGAAAGATACACTTTTGATTGATGACAAGAAATTGTTTATTAAATGGATGTTTAATTGCTTTTCCATCAGTTAATAACCAGACAGTCTAACAGTCAATGGGTCAACTGTCATACCGATGAACGTTGACCTGGTTGCACGTGAAAATTGTAATACGATGTTTACATATTTCGTTTTGTTTTCTTTTGAACTCGGGAAGCAAGTTAATCGGCAGTTTAGAGGTCTACAGGATGATAAAAGCTCTTGCTTATATGATTTTACCTCCCGAAATTCCTTTTTGCCTCATACTTTGGAAAACGAGCACTTAGCTCCCCCAAAGTGACTTAATATGAGAGCGTGACAATCCTGGAACGTGAACAAGCTCCTCAATTCATAAATTGACAAAGTGAAATTACAGAAAAACTGACTGTTTTCAGAGATCATTATGCTTTGTTCTTATAATTTTTGCTTGATTATGTTTAATTTACCTCACATTTCGTGGCTTCCTCGGTAAAAAGAACAAAGAGCACTCGAAGAATTGACTAGAAATGTGAAAAAATTCATAATAACAGTGTCATGGGATTAAGCGTCACGTCTGTAATATAAACGCGTCATTGCAAAAATATAAACATATAGATTATGATAAACTTTATGACCCCTCCCTCCAAATTGTAACAAAACTGTCGATAAGTGTCAAAAAATAGATACATTGGTTTGAAATACATTGCAACTTTAGAAAAAAGTTGGTTTTGAGGTTTTTGACTTCCTAGTTTGGGTAAATTTTCCAAAGTGAAGAACGAAACAAGCTGAACTTTTGGCCGGTAATATTAAAAAAAAAAAAAAAAAAAAAAAAAAAAAAGGCTGCCTTTGAACCTTGTCGTTTTCCTTTTATATGCGTAAATATAGCGAGTGCTGCTGCTCATTGATGATAAAAAATGGTCTTAATCCGCGTGACACCTAAAGTACAGAGGATTTCCAAAGAGCACAAGAGAGTAGCGTGACGGAAATCCTCTTGTTGTGAATCCTTAATCGAAAAAGTGATGGTAAACAGTGGCACGGTTTCCCATTCGCTTTTGTATAAACGACTGTCCATCAAGGTCCAATCGATTGTCATATGGGAGTTAAGTAAATGTAATAAGGACAGAACTTAATTCAACGCGATTCTCCTGCAGCAACGAACCTCAAAGGGATGGGTAAGCTATGACTACAACTTTGATTTGGAATTAGACGGGAAGGCAACGAAAATTATTACTAGAAAAAGTACTTAAAAAAGAATCGCTAGGTTCCGTAAAACATTTTCGTCAACATCTTAAAACGGAAGCTTTTGAAAATCATTTTATCGCTTGTAATCCACTCGGTATCAACTCTCGCCCGCGCAATCTCGATAAGCTTTAATTAATTCCTTCAGTACTCCCGTAACGACGAAAAACAGTTACGAAAGTCAAATAAAATAATATAAATGTACGTTTTCTTCTCTCTACTCGTCTAGAAATGACCTACAATGTCCTGCTCGGTGCCATGATTATAACAGTATTAGGTTCAGTTGCTTCTACGACACACTTGAGTAGTATAAATGTGATTGTTAAAGCTATCCTGCAGCCAACCCGAATCAACGCTACTAGACAGGTGAGAAACGAAATACATAGATAAAGAGAAAAGGAAAAAAGAAGACTGAGGAAAATACGTTTTTCCAATTGGAATAATTCTGTGATTAAGTTGAGTTGCCTAATCTTTGAAAACTGACATTCTTTCTCCTCCAAATATTTCTTAGATGTTAAACCTCTACCCTTGGATAAGAAACAACTGGGATCTTAAAGAGCCGGAATTTTATCTAGGACAAGAAATCACACCGTTATGCTCTGGCAATAAGGTGAGTATCGGTGGTTCTCCAACACAGGCCGTCAAGGGAAGTAAAAAGAATTTTAACATGCTGTGTAATGCGCGCTTTTTGATTGGTCGGATCAAATTTGAAGTATGTGCATTTAGAGGCGTGCGTGCTTCGTCTTGCTTTAATGCACTTGGCTTATCGTCGCTTACGTCTTCAGCCCAAGCGCGCGCAGATCATGAGACAGGTTTTGCAATCTTTTACCATCTTTATGGAGTCTGTGATCTTCCTGACAGTACAATTTACGTCATAAACTGTTCAAAATTCAACTGAAACCACGAGCGAAGCGGGTGGTTTTCTCGCAAAAGCTTAAAAATTGTTTGGAGAATAGTTTTATAACGTTGATAATGAGCTTTGACTGAAGCTCCTACATTCACAGACCAAACAAAAGCAACTTTAACACTGTCAAAGTAAGTGATAATATACGATAATGAAAATACTCGTGTTTGAATTTAAATCAATTGCCTCTCATTCAGAGGATGCAATTAGGCCGACTAAAAAGTCCAAAAACGACTTTTGAGGGAAAGGAAATGGACGGGAAAAAAATCACAATTCACTCTTAGAGGTGTCCAAAGTACAACTGACAACCACGTTTCCGTGTCGCGTGATGTGAAGTTCAAACTCAATAGTATTTTTATTGGCATCACTCACAAGGAGAGCGCCAAAATGTTCACCCTTAACGATAAATTTTTTGAGCACGTGAATACTCCAAAGGCTTACATTCAACTGAATTCACGCCAAATCGAGTTGTGTACTTAAGTGTTAAGCTTGTGGATTTTAGGTCATATACGTCTGTAGTTTTTTATATATAGTATAAACATCGTAAGTAAAAAACTAGTAGACATGAGGATTTTCTTAACGCGTGCATTGCTTGAAGAGAAGCATTCACGTAACTTCAAAATCTTGCGGAAAGATCTCACGCCTTTTATCTTATATAATGATCAGTAAAAATGTTGGTAACTCCTTAATCAGTATAAAACATTAAAAAATATCATTGGCATACTTTTTCGCACTGTAGACAAGAACAGACAACCTCTCTATAGCGTACTTAAAGTTGTCCGGCTTCGTCCTCCCACTCACGATGGCATACACGCATGAAGAAACAAAAGGAAATCAGCACTATCGGTTAGCAAAGGTCCTCAAGGATACAAGCTGGTGGCTAAACAATACCTACATGGCCATATATCATAACGTAAGAATACGATGAACTTAATAATTGTAGAGTTCTGTTCATATCCCAATATTCATTGATTATCGTTGGTAACATGATTGTTTTGTTTTGTTTTTCTTTACTTTAGGTTTCGGGATTGACTTTGCTCCCTCCTAATCAAAAGACAGAGGCAGAACTGGACGAATATACTAGAGTATTTCTACAAGCCCTCGTCAATGATAAACGTGTGGTATGTGGTGTATCTTCTTAAAAAAACTAAATCTTCTTGCAAAACTAAATGTATATGCCTTATACACTCGGAACCGTGAACACTTATATAAATTCAAAGACTCCGTGTCATTGTAAGATTAGGGACTTTGAGGAAAACACGATGGTGATGGCAACCGAAACGTGGCGAAACAAAGGTTCTGTCCGTAGAACAATAGCTCTACACGTGCGTTTTCAAACTTTGTACATTTCCTGGCCATCCGAAGCAAAACAACGTGGATTCATGAAAATTTTTGCGTTGTCTGAGAACGAGAACCTAGCCTCCGAAATTATTCACGTTTCTATTCGAAATTAACCCCCCATTCAGGGGAGAAGGTGGTCGAAATACGCGCGAAATGCCTAAAAAAAGATAGAAAGTTTATTTGTTCGGTATTGTTAAGCGTCCGTCGTGACATCTTAAACTCCCTACTGGGCTCTGCCGTATTACCGTGGGAACCCTTTAGAACTTGTCAGAAAGTTTTGATTGAGTGCAGGTTTGTTGACTGAGATTATTTTGTGAGCTATAATAATACCATAGTTCGCTCTTAACATAAACAAATTTCACGTAGATCGCGTCGACAGTCAACCAGTAAAAAGCTAGGGTTAATTTTTGGTTAGAGGAATGGTAGGTGTGCAGTTGCTCAGATAATCGCATTGATCCAGAAACTCTATTTAGATCTTGTTTAAAACCATCAAATATCATGTTGATCGGCATGTTTGGAACATCAATATGAAATTTTACGAAAGTCACAACATGAAATTTGGAGTGGATTTTGTCCAATAAGTTAAATCTTTTAAAAATCGTGTCAAATGAAATCATAAAGCGATCTTGTAAATGCCATCTCACTTAGATCGATTTGCTTAGAATATCAAAACAAAATCTTTGGAAATATTGTTTAATGAAAAGAAAACTTGTGTAAAAAATTTTAAGAAACGCCAATTTCGAGTGGACCTTGTTCAGCAAAATTGAATCTGTTATAAACCGAATCATATCAAACGTAGATCTTGTTTATATGGATGAAATCCTACGCAAAACTTGCTTGGTAAAATGAAATCTGACTACAATTTTTTTCTTTCCCTCTGGTTTGCAACGAAGAAATCTAAAAGCCCTCTTCCATATTTATTTTTATCACCAGAGCCTGACGATTACTGATGACGTGGTTAAGACGTATCGAAACTATGCTATCCTTTACACATTAAAAGATGTCATCCGTGAAGTTCTGTCTTGTTTCCAATCCATTTAATAGAGAAGTATGCTCCAGAAACCATATAATTTTTTACTCTGATATTTCAATGTATTCACTGAATTGCATTTCAAAAAGTAACAAAGGACACTACCATTTTGAACCCAGCCAGAGAATCTGGTCGCTTGACAGTGTGACCTGCAAAGTCTCACTCTTGGCGATCTGTTTCTACAACAAGAAGCTACACAAGAAGCCCCTCTTAACTCGAGTATCGATTCTCTTTTATTATTTATTTATTTTTTTCTGCGATAACCAGAGCATCAGCTGTCCGTGAACAGCACGTTGTGGTTTCGCGTGTGCGGACAGGTTACAAAGCTTTTTACAAAATGGGGGCGTCCTTCATCGAACGTTGGGAGCTTTAAGGAAATTTTCAACTGGTTAAGTTACTCTGGAATCTGGAGAAGCAGTAACCAATATGGTTTCTGAAGCATACTTCTTCTATTCATCCAGTATGACAAATGTGGCATCGCCTTCTATAGAGTAGAAGCATGCCAAATATCTTCCCTATTTATCACTAAAACATAGACAAAAAATTTTACTTAAGGAAAAAAGGTAAAGTGTGTAAAATGAAAACGTTATTTATAAATATATAAATAGTTCGAAAGTTATTTATAGTTAGATACTATAGTTAAACTATAAGATATAAGAAGCTATGTATAGCCATATTGGCAAAAACACGTTTTCCACCCGCCTCTCGTTGATCCAACTCTCAGTCAAAAAAATCCATCTTTGAGCCCTTGATGACCAAGCGGTTTCAACAAACAATTATGTCTGCTGAAGAATCTTTTGAGCCATAGTTAATAAAGTGCTGCAATGGTTGTGAAACCTGACAGAATTTTGATTTTGTATCGTCTTTTTTGGTTTTTGTGAACTGATCGGGCCAGCATTCAATACAGTTTCAATTATGTTGAGTTACCATTCAGAATTCTCATTAATGTATTGTAGTGGCGTCAGACAGCTTGACTTTTAAATTGTCGGTAATCTCAAAATATTTCTTAGCTTATTTAGGGTTTTCTGAATCAGAGTTTTCAAATTTTGATTCTGTCCCTGTATTTAGTCACAATGTGGAAACGCGAAGACAAAAGATCGTGTGCACACAGTGAGCTCTCAGCAAAACCAGCGGCTTTGTTCTTATTTTTTTTTTTCTTGCGGGCTTTCATAACCGTTCAACTCAACCAACTAAGGTTCAATCGAAATCCAAAACTTGACTTATTTAAAAATACGTGGTTATATTCCTAACTTATTAACTAAGTTGTAACTTATAGGTGCCTGAAACAAGTTATCAAAATTAAAGAAAGACATTCTATTTTTGAAAATAAGTGTGTAATCGTAGAATTGTTACATATCGCGTTTTTGTAATATACTTGTACATGACCGAGTTTGTAACTGTCTGAGACAGTGAAGGGATATACAATACTCTTAAACAACACTGAAATGACTCATACCTGACTTAAAATTGTCTCAGAGGAACTTGGAAACTACATCAACGAAAGAAAGCTAGTGTTTTTACTGTTTAACCCTTTAACTCCCATGAGTGACCGAGACAAAATTCTTCTCATAACGTCAATGAAATATCAAGGGATTGTTAGCTGATCGAATATCAAATTCTCCATGCTAACAACATGAGAACTGTATTGCAGACAGTAAGGAGAATTGCTGATGAGATCTTGGGAGTAAAAGGGTTAACGTATGGGACTGATCCTTAGTCATCGCCTAGATGGGGGGGGAGGGGGGGTAGGAGAATTTTGGTTGTGTCAAGATAAAATCTATCCGATGACGCCATTAGTCCCCTTCCCTTCCCTTCCCCCCACTGGTAGTCAATTTTCTCTTTCTATGCTTTTTCGAACGACGTCGCGTGTAGTGTATGTATCTTCGAAAATGGAAAATTCAATTATTGATCATTTTAAAGCGAAGATTGTTTTTTTTTTCTAGTATCTAGTTTCGATTTCACCTCCACGGTTTCAATTCACTAACTTCCTCGACGATGTTGCTGGGGCAGAAGATAGGATATTTAATCGGTTTTACTTTAAGCAAACCTGTTGCAGCCTAATATCCAATGAACTGACAAACAATCACGCCACTTTACTAGCAAATCAGATCTTCCTCTCCTTCTAAGAGACGTAAGACGGTAGTCCTTCACATCCGCTTTTCACTTTTCATATTTCCGGTCAGAAGTGTTGTTCAATATTTTGACTCCTCCATGAACACCAACTATTTTCATATTCACGTAGAAAATTTTACTTTTCTATATAGAGACAGAAAGTGCGCTGGATCAAATTTAAAACTAAACTGAAGCTTATCGGCTGTTCGATCGTTTTCCATTCGCCTATTCTTTGTCGATCACGTGCACTTAAGTCGTGAAGAGGACTTTCCCCTCTAAAGGACAAAGACAAAGATTGTGACAGATTAATGGCTTAGTTCTACGAATTTTTTTAGCTCGAATAATGAGGATAATCAGCTTACGGCACTCAACTCAAATTTTGTCGTGTACAGTCTGCAATAAAGGCATCTGATCAGCATCTGACCAGAGTGATCAGAGAGCATTCTAAAGTAGCGGTACTTGAGCAACCCATCATGTTTGACTCTCCCATCAACCCTCCCTTGATAGGAACACGCTTCTCTTCCAACTAATCACCCTTTGCATCAAATAATTCTGCGATTACTAAAAAATACGCCCGCACGGCAGGTTAGTTTTCTACTTTGGAAAACGTAAGTCATGGATTAGAAAAAAAAACAACAAACTCAAGGATTCATAAATCCTATTTTACATTAATTCCATCCAATTAAGTACTAATTAATAAATCCTATTTCACATTAATTCCATCCAAGTAAGTGCTAAGCTTAAGCTTGCCAAAAATACGTTCACACGGCAAGTTAGTTTTCTACTTTGGAAAACGTAAGTCATGGATTAGAAAAAATAAAACAAACTTAAGGATTCATAAATCCTATTTTACATTAATTTCATCCAAACAGAAACAAATAGAAAGTTATATTTGGAAAAATATTTTTAGAACTGCTGTAAGCGAAAGGAAACGCGTTTTAGAGGTGTCACTAGTCGCAAGAACAGTTTTATATTTTTGTCCAGTGTAAAATTATATACAGCTTTGCACGTGCGTCATGATTCCACATGACGTTATTGTGATAACTATATAATTAATTGAAAATAGTCACTTCCGATTCGCTTCTCCTAAACTAAAGCGGCCATGATTCTTTCGGCTATCCTCACTTAGTCTCTGCCTTATTGATCCTTCATTTTTGTACTCATGCGGAAGAAATCGCAATGATTTAGGGAGCTTCACAGAAAGACATCTTAAAGTTGTTCACATTACTCTATAGCACATGAAGTAACGATACTGATTGTATAAATTAGATTAAACTTCTAACTCAGATGTACAAAACAGAGAGAACAAAACACCTTTTTATTACCTCTGGAACAAACTGGCTTAAATATACGGCATTTTATGTGATTAAAATACCTTGAAGTCCTGATGGAAATATCTTGTTTACATTTTCAAAACACTATCAATGGCAAAATGAAGTCGAGTCACAAAAGCATACGATTCTTCCCATCGGAAATTATTCAGTTAAAAGGGTACGTGCTTACAGAAAAATTATCTTTCGTAACTATGATTGTCGGAACTTAAACACAACAGGAATAAAATAGTGCGGAAGAACTCCAAAAGGAGAATGAGGTAAGGGAAGGGAAAATAGAAATGTGTCTTCGATATAAAGGCAACTCGCAATCAATAGTCATAGCCAGTTTAAGAACTAAAACTTCAATACAGAAAAATTAAATGGTCAAAAAAGAAACAGGTGAGTAATAAAATAATAACCAGTTGTAGTGTTCTACAAAGAAAGAAAAGGGATGGAGAGGCTCGCAAAGTTCAGCTAAATTTCAATAATCAAGTGAACTTTCTCACATTCACCGAGGCATCATCCATTGTGTTCAATCAACAAAAATAAGTAAAATAGGTATTTCTTCGAAATTTTTATTTTCCTCAATTGAATATTTTATATTTGACTATCACTTTTCCCTCCTTACAAACTAGGAATGGAACTATTTTTAAAGGTCGTGTTTGGAATGATATTTGTTTTGACAATGATCTCACAAATTCAAAGTTCTTCTGCGAATTCAAAACCAAAGAGACTTCAACTACTCATCAAAGATATCATAGCGCCTAGGGTCAAAAACGCAACTAAAGAGGTAGGTGCCGTTCAAGTTGTAACTCTCACCTCTGTTTTCTTTCCAATATTTAAGTGTTAGTTTAGAAAATACTACTTACATCAAAAGAGAAGGCCACAAATTCTAGTCTCGAGCGAAATGTTTCAGTCCGGAATGCGCTGTGTCGCAGCATGTGACTAATATATGCCGCTACAAGAAACATTTCAATCAGTATTTTTGGGTGTAGTGTGTTAATATGTATGTAAAAACTCTCTGCAGATGCAAACCAAGTATCCATTTATAACCTCGACGAACGATCTGCAGGAGACAATGCTGATGCTTGGAGTGATAGTGACGAAAAAGTGCTCTTTAAATCTGGTATGTAATGAAAGTGAGGTCTGGGGAATACTAAAATCTATCACCCCCTGCACCCCACACTATCCGAACGTTAAGCGGATTACCCACTCTTGTTCGGCTCGCGATGTAAGAACCTTTCTCAAGTCCTCTCGACACCCCGCGAACGTTTTTGCGTTGGTAAACCAATAGAAATCTGTTACTAAATTGCTACTTTCACATGTAGCTGCATGGTCCTGGCTTTAAAATATTTACTCTTTTCTAAGATTTTCTGACCAGGATGAACCTTATCAAACTGCGAAGACCAACCTAGAGTAGCCAAAGTGCAGACTATGGTATACGGAGGGCTTTTCGGTTGATCCTAATGTAAAACCAACGTTACCTCTAAGCCAATTATAACAAGGATATTTATCAAATGAATCGAATGAAAGGTCAAAGAAAATACATGTGAAGTAAACTACCGGAAGCATAAGAAAACGCGACCCACTAGATTTCCTTGATGGATTTTAGTAGGCATCTGATTGGTCGATAGCACGATGCTAGTTTTCTTCACCAATTACCGTAGGGGTAGAATTAAAACTAATGCAATCCATTATAACTTTTCACATTCAGCTGAGAGTTTCTCTCTATCTGACAATTGTGATCCTTTCTTTCTTATCCAGCAATTGAAAGACAAGCTCACTAACAGCTACTTAAAGCTCTCTAACTACATCACACCACTGTACATGGCCTACTCTTATGAAGAAGCACATGGGCCCCAGTACACGGTGCTAGCAAGTGTACTCAGGGAGACCAGCTTTTTCCTGAATAGTACAGTTAGCACTGTAAGACATGAGGTAATATTCTCCCTAATTCTCAGTATTCAAGAGGACATTCCTCTGATCATTAATAACTTACTTACAAGCACCTATAGTAGCGATTACTGCACTCAAAAACCTAGGATATTTTAAGGTAAAGTGTGGTTCGTAAAGGTCACGTGATTGAAGTGATGCATGAAACATGAGGGTTACACTGGTACGACCAGCATTTACCACATTTAATCTCGATCAAGCAAAGTGTACAAGAGCAAAGGGTCTAATATTTGCGGAAGATCGCGACAAGGGTATGTTTCTCGTCCAGATATTCAGTTCAATTATCTTGGTAAATGTAACAGAAGACCTCTTACTGGGCTATTTTGCAGCTTCGTTGGCTGTGACTTTGTTATCGTTCATTTGAGCATGAATAATTTTTCATTGGTTTAAACTTCAGCTGCTGATAAGAGGTCACTCCGTGCCCGCTGGTCAAGTTGTGTTGACGGAGAAGCAATTAAATCGATACACTCGTGGATATCTACAAGAGCTTGTCAACCAAAACTGGCTGGTAAGTTTACAAAGCGATACAAGATCGTAATCATGTCGTCAATTTTTAATTCCAGTTTTCATCATGTTATACTTGTTTTCTTATGGATACAGTTTTCCTTAAATTAAATATCTCATCATCACGATCAAGATCTTTATTTACTAAGCTTTTGGTTGAGGATAAAATAACATGAATAGTTTGACACGCTGTTTTCCAAGACAGTGACGTCCTGACTTAAATGAGCACTGGCATGCAGTCAGCATTCGCTAGCGTTAGTTTCATCAGTAGGAAATGTAATGAATGTTATTCAAGCTAAAGATAAGTACAAAGGTGACGTGCTCCAAAAGCTCTTCCTCTTCTTACGCACTGAAAAAACGAGAAAATCTAGCCAAACCCTTTACACCACAACATCAGTGTGCATATTCTCCATACTGTTCTCGATACATTTCCTAAGGTGCTGACAGAGAGACTTTGTTTCATAATCGAGAGCTTCTTTAATGGTGATCATTTCCTTTTTTTTCCGTAAACTTAATGTTTGATTCAGGGGTGATGTTGTTAAGAAATGTTGACCTCTTTATAAAATTAGAAATCTTACTTTTTAGAACCTTACAATCACTGACGATGTCGTGAGGATTTACCGGAACTACGTCATCTATTCCACCTTTCATGATGTCATTACTGAGGTGTACACGTGCGTCTTTGGTGTATAACGTCAATCTTTGCTATGCACTCTGGGAGTGGCACACTAAATTTAATTAATTTTTTTTCTGGTAACCACTATTATAAGAAAATATACAGAAAAATGGAAATAGTGTTGATCACTTCTGCGACGAAATATAATTGCTAACAAACGGAAATTTTACGAAGGTTTCGTGAAATGAATCTGCAGCGAACTTCCTCTCTTTAAGTATAATAATGATAATGAACAATTTCTTTCAAAATTCCTTTGTAATTGAATATCATAAATTAATTGTGTGGTGACTGTCAACCGATAATTGGCCTATTTGTTATTACTCTCAGTGAGAGACGATATTTATTACATTGCGAAAAACTAATTACTATTATCAACATTATTGCTATGTTATCAACTGATCAGGATCAGTTGTTTTGATGTGATACAACTTATTATTTAACCTTGTAAAGGATTTCGAAGTTACAATAAATCTATTATCACACGTTAAAATCAGTTTCTATTGTATAGCTTAATTATTCTAAAACCCATTTCTCTTGCCAAAGTAATCTTATCTGGGTTCTTAAGAGGCATTACGTCAACTTTAAAACTTAACGCAAAGCCTCTTATGTTTTTTGAACAGCAAAAGGGTTGCCTTATCATACGTGGAAGTGACTGGAGTTGTTCTATCATCATGAATGCACCTGTTTCTTGGTTGACTTAACACACTCATGTAGGTTATTGATTTAAACACAGCAAATGAGTGTATTAATAGCAAGGAGGTTTGAACCCTCACGGTCCAGTTTTGACAGAATTTGATCATCAATATTCTTAAACCAAGAGTGATTGCTCTAAGTTACATTTCGGTAGCGTTGAAAGTAAAAAACAGGAAGCGAAAAGTCGATTTGAGCACTGTCTTAGATCGGTATGCTCTTCAAATAGTCAAGGCCAGATGCCTCAGAGAACTTCTTGCAACAAATGCTACATGTACAATTAAACGCAACAATTGGGATGCTCCCCACAGTTGAAAAAAAGGAACATCACAGGCAGTAAGTTGAGGAGATTCTCTTATGCCACGGCGAAACTCTCCTGTGTGGAGTTTTGTTCCGTGAGAGCCAGCACTTTAACTGTTGACATTCCAATTGTCATTAGTAGGAAAGAAAACTCAACGGCAATCGGTACTCATTCACCGTTTTCAACGAGCGTAGGCAAGCTTTAGCATAGAAGAACAGAATAAAATATGTAGCTTTTTAAGGCATCTGAACATAAAAAATGTTTTTTTCTTCATAACTAAAGCAATGCCATTCCTCAGAATCCAGCGAATTAAGCTTGTATAGAGCTTTTAACGACAAAATCAGCCAATTTAAAATGAAAGGGTTTTTCACCTACTTTCTAACTATCGCTGGCATTCAATACAGTTGAGTTCTTATTTCAAAATGTCAGAAAGTGACCGGACAAGTTATCTTTATTCCATAAAGTTGTTAATCACGGAACATCTCTCATACAGCTTGGAATTTCGTTCCACCTCAGAAGCTCCAGGAAATTTGATGATCGAATCATGGGAAAAATAATGTTGGCCTTCTTCCAAGGTAAATTACATAAGAGAATGGAACATATTACAACTGATTAGAGAATGTTTTCAGTGTTTTAACTGATGATCGACTCAAACAGCCAAAGGTCATTACAGTGGGACACATTTCTATTGGGAATAATGTTTACCAAAACATTGATAATCACCAAAGCCAATCAGAAAATAGGATAACATCGCGAGGGCCAATCGGAACCAAAAGTTAAAATAAGAAAGCAAGCCGCAATTACTGAGAGTTACGCAAGTAACCAAGTTTTGCGTCTGATTATTGTTGCAGATCGAGGAAAAGTAAAATCAATTTAATACCGGGTTACTTTCGACACTCAACTGAAAATCTATCAGTTAAGGAGAAGCTGCTGCTAGTAGTAGCTATGAGATTACTACAAGGAATTTTACACTTTCATAACCTGTCCTTAGAGTAACACAGATAACTAAACGCAAGTTTCAAGAAGAAAAAGTAAATTTTTTAAAGAAGCTTCAGCAGCGTAACTCTTTACTGTCGGCTGGTGAAAATTGACTCTATTTTTTAATGGGAAAGTTACAGCGTTCGACGAAGGAAAACGCATACTAATCGCAGCGTTTTAACGGGAATCACTCTCGAGGGTTTTATGGACCAGTCCTAAAGGGGATCGATCGTGATGCCATGCGATTTCAGGCATTAGGCGCCATTTTGGACTAGCTTGGCTGGCTGGCTGGCTATGTGGCACAAAAAGCCTCGATCTCATGTGTTTTCTTGGCCGCCTTGAGCTGAAGACACCGATTTTTTCTGCGCAATCAGTACAATAAAAAAGACTTTTACTAGAGATCGAACGCACTTTACTAAACTTTGATTATTACTAGTTTAAGTTATTAAAAGGACGTTTGACTTATGCATTTAAAATTACATGGATACTCTCCGCCAAAAACAAACAAACGTACTATTGTTTTCACTGAAAAATAACGTCAGCCATTTCAGGTTGATTTCGTGATGAATTTAATTACCTTGGAAATCTTCCATCAAAAAATCCGCGTGAATATCAACCGTCTACTTTTGAATCGTGACCCAAAAACTATCGAAATAAGAACAGTCTTGCATTAAATGCAAAACAAGCGAAATTTGTGCGGAACATGAAAGGAACTGTCTCAAGTATTTGTCGATAGTTTTATGTGTGAAAAAAGGAGGTCAAACCAAATCGTGTATAGGCTTACAAAATATAGTAACAATATATACCTTCATCACTGATTCGATGTCGGATTGTTCCATTCCATTCCAGATATCCAGATGTGCTTTCATCTCTCTTTCCGGCGATAGTAGCGCGCCTCTAGAAAGATGCATACGCAGAAGTTGCTTAGTTTTTTCACACGAGTTATAAATATCAAAAAGAGAAGTTTCTCAGACAAAAGGAAAACGTTTCTATAGGTTTATGAAACTGCGCCAACTAACGAGCCATTCAGTTGTTAACAAATAAATCGTAATCAAGTCTCCTGTATTTTTTCAATCGGCTCCTGTCACGTTTGCCGAGAGTGATGACTTGTGACCAGTAAAAAGCATAATATATTTCCCCGTACATGACGTGCCCCTCCTATCAGGCAAGCAAGTTTTTCCGCTGTGCTATTTAAACATCAAGCCGACGTGCACAGTTGGTGATACCTCTGTGTAAAAACGAAAATTCATTGACTACATCAAAGTTGCTTAAAGAGGTTAGATTAATGAAATCCAGGTTCTACCATTTTTCTCCAAATAGTATGGATTTAACCACGATTAAAACCAAAAAATACGCAAAGGTCTTAACAACAAACAAGTTTAAAATGTAAGGAAACCTCTTGTCAGTTTTTTTCCCCCTGAGGCCAAAGCTCAAAATCTGTTCAATTTCAAAACCCATGGAAGATTTGTTTGACTACAACAAGTGCTCAAATCTATTCAGTTTCAAAACCTATCAGAGATTTGTTTGGAAACAAGTGCTCAAAATCTGCTCAATTTCAAAACATGTCTAAAAATATGTTCAGTGTCAAAACATATGGAGCCAATGTGCTTATTGATAAACCAATTATATCCATTTTGCGGTGACCTTATAAAAAATGGGTTCAAATAGGAGCATACTTCAAATCGACACTTACGTTCTTAGAATTCTTGTTCACTGAAGCATTGGACATATTTGTTACATTAAAAAACTCTTTCCTCGTTCTTTTTTTTTTTCTTAAAAAAAAAATTGTATTCCATCTTTTAAACTACAGGGCTATTTAGTATTCACAAAGTACGTCATGTAAGCCATAGCCGGCCTATTTGGGTGTTTTTGTTAAGAATCATGTCCTTGACTTCTTTGCACCACTTAAACAATAACAAAGTGCCATTAGTGATAATTGTAATGCCTAATTCATTTTCGTTCGAGTGCTAACTGCAGGTTTAGAAGATTTTTCACTTTCAACCAACGTACTTTATAGGCATAAAGTAAGATTGATAGAGGTACCCTGCGTTAAAATTCACCATAATCAGCGCACCAAAGATTCTACGTTATTCGCGTTTAAAACATCTCAGCTCAAGTGTTTTGAATTTTCTTAATAGTTTTGTTAAACATCGATTTGGACTAAAATTGACCCACGGTGTGCGACTATGAATAGCATCTAAGTTGGCTTAAACTCCGAGGCAAAATATGCCGACAACTTAGTAATGGACTCCTGCAAAGAGCGATACTGACCAAAATGAGGAATTTGCGAAAAAACTCTCTAAATAAAAATCTAAATTAAATCATCCTTTATTCATAGGTCATCATGATTAAATATTCGGACATATGGAAACTCTGTTGTTGTGTCAAGTTAAAGGCGTCGTTATTACTATTTACAATCGTGTACTTAAGATCAAGTAAATGTACAAAGTACCACAGACTGGTACATAAATAAATTAAGACAGTTCAGAGACAAGCGAACTGCATTATACAAAGATCTCTACCGATCGATAATATGAGGAAGACATTTGTAGCACTTGATTGTACTCTTGGATTCTTGTCTGTGCGTATTCTCCGAAATCAGCACCAGCCTCGATGAGTAAAATCGCACATTTCCAGTTTCCCCGCCTAACAGCCGCATGTAAAGGTGTCCAACCGCTAACATCTTTCAAACTTACGTCCGCTCCGTACTGTATAAGAAGCTGAGTGCATTTCAAATCCGCATTTGCTGCAGCAATATGTAGTAGTGTTTGCCCATTTGGAGTTTGAGAATTCACGTCCAGATCTTGCTGTTCTAGAATACTTTTGGCCTCCGCATAGGCCTTTTCTGTTACTGCAGAGAAAAGAAGAGTTGTTGGACTGAATGAAATACGCTTTCGACTTCGCGCACTTCTACCGCTATATTCACTTGAGTCCTGCGAGTCCATTGAACTGGAACTTAAACTGGGACTGTCGTGACCTTGGAGCTTGTCTCTTCTACTATCGGCCGGATAAACCTTTCTTCTTCTTCGAACAAGTTTCAGAGGAAAGTTGTGTCGTAAATAAAGTAAAACTTTCATCAACATTAAAACCCTCCTGAAGTATCCCTCATCCAAGTCTGTAACCTCAGCGGTGTCGCCTCTCGACCAAATCTGACTCCTTGGCGAAGTACCTTGATGGAATAATCGGTTGTTATCCGAATCTGTTGAAGTTGTATTGAGTGATCTCCTATCGGAATTGACCGATGTCTCAGAACTTTGCGAGTAAGCAGAGTCGGAAAAAGAATCGTACGTTTCTGTTTCAGGATAATCGGAACTCGACGTCGATATTGTTGCGTGTTTACGGTTATCAGGAGATAAGTGTTGGTTTGTTAACCGGCAATCAGAGTTTGCAATGATACGGGTTTCTTTGACCGATTTCTCGTTTACTGGCGACTGACGTCTCCATTTTGGTGATAATCTTAACGAATCCAATATTCTCTCCATCGTGCTTTCTTTCATTGGCGTCCTATCCATTGTTAAGTTTTCCTCACAAGAACCGCCGCTCACAGTAGTAGACTTTTAAGGTTCTCTATCATCAACTGAGGAAGGCAGACGAATGCAGGACCTTACTTCTGCGTCACAAAGTAGCCTTTCGTTGGTCATATAGACAACTTTTTCGACTGTCGTTTCCGTCGCTCGCTCTTACCTGTTAACTTTTTGTAGCGACTCACAAATGCTCTCTGGGTAAATAGCCTTTGTTTTGACTTCCACCGCGAGCTTTTACAAAATAAAAGAACTCATTTGAAACTTTGCCATCCTCACGAACATGTAGAGTTGAACTAATCACGTGCAAATGACCGTGATTGCTTCGAAATTGGATTTATCAGACATCAGGTTTATCAGACATCAGGGTCATGCCTTCTCTCCCACTTAACACGGCATGTTGTCGTAAGCGACGTAACTGGTTGACATTAAATTTCATAAGACTTTGTAATCAATCAAGCGCGTAAACACAGCCAATTGAAACGATTTGCATGTAAACGGTATTGTAGTAATCCCTTTGTATCCATTGTGGTTCATTTCCAAAGCCGCTTACTTAAAGACGTCAGTAGAAGTTTAGAGATTCTGTTTAACGATATAGGACAATCTAAATCTCATAAAAAAACAAACCGCAATAAGGCAATCATGGGAAGCAAATGCTCCTTAAAAAAAATCGTTGAACCAAACCTTTTTGGGCACAGGGTTAGGAGTGGGACATAATGAATGTACAGTTTAATGCTCAAAGCGGTCCCTCTGTTAACCACAATAGATTTGTTTTTATTAATCATCAGCGTGCCATTTTCTACTTGGATAGGTTTACCTCTCCCTCAAAAGTGAAAACATCAAAATAATAGATATTGCAGCCGACTTCGATAAACCTGTTGAATACCTGACAGAAAAAAGTTGGAACATAACCACTTTAATTGAGTAAGAACATCGTTCAGTGCATTGACGGTTACGTAATAGCCCTAACAAAATGGGCGAACGCAATTAGGAGAACGCCAATCAGAACTGAGCTTAACAAAAAGCATGGCTAGCACCTTTAGAGCAAGAAAAAGCGGTTAATAGAACCCGTTAGTTTCTAAAGAAAATTATCAGAAACTTTGAACAACAACGTGTAAAAAGAAAAGATAAGAGAATTATCAATGACGCAAACTAAAAACTTATCTGTGTGTAGTTATGCAGTAATTGAACGAAAAAGTATTTGAAATAGTTTAAATACCAATTGAGACTTTTTTCCTCAAAGTGATCCCAATGCATGTGAGCTGTTCTAGATTTGAACATTTCAATCGAAACTTTTGGCAAAGCATCTTTGTGAAACATTTTCAGAGATCATAAAAGAAACAAGGTAATAAAAATTTTGCGGGACTTCTAAACATCATGCTATAACTTCCGTTTTTTTTTCCTGCTTTTCGGTTTGTTCATTAAGAGTGTTACCAAACACACAACCACCACAAAAAGAAATAGACAGAGATCTTCATTTAACATGTACGAGTCTTGATTAATTGATCCCAACTGAAGTTTGTTCTCATTTTTACTGCCTAGGTACTTCTAAGTCTTACTTCTCTATAGCAATACATCCACGACAAAAGTTTGTTGTGTGAGGAATAGTAGTCGAAACGAGTTTGTGTATTCTTACCATATAAGGTTTATGCAATTATTCCAAGTGACACAGAGTAAGCGAATGGCAATGCCCTTTTCGCCTATCCCTCCCCCTCCCTGTCCCGCATTGATAAAAACAAATTCTAACTATAAATTAACGATGATATATTAAGCCCAAGATTTATGAGACGGTCTCATACGCGTTTTACGCGCATACTTCCCCCATTTTTGAGTAGAACTGTATATATTGCTGATGCAAAGTGCAATGGAGACAGGTAAATGTATCCGAAATAGATACGAAAATATATAGAACCAACTGCTCGCATACTTTAGAAGAACACAGTTCTAAAACGGGTGTTACGCTTCTTCTTGTACAGCGCTTTGAATAAAGTTTCAATTCGTCCCCCAACACGGTAACAGTACACGAGTCTTGGCACAACATTTCTTAACATCTCCTGTAGGACTCAAGATGGATCGGAATAAACGAAGGCTAAGACATAACATGATGATACTCTAGAAAATAATGTTAGCAGCGGTAAGAAGACTCCACGAGTGAACAAACTAAAGATAATTACCATAGAAGCCCTTCACTGAAGGCTCCTCAAATTGTCTTCCTTTGACGTTTAAAAAAATATTGTTTTTGAGTGGACAGTGCTGTATTACGACTACATGTACTCTGTCCATAATTTGAACTATGTTCCATTTGATGGCATAGTCCACAATCAAAGGCAAATTACCATAGTTCTGACTTTTACGTTAGGGGACCAAAAGATTGTTTCAACGCGTGTGTTGTTACGTGTGTCGCATGTGATATTTGATCATGTGATACACTGTATTGTGCAAAGGAGCATTAGAAGGTGAAAGTTTGACATTTGATATTAGGGACAGAAATTTTAGATAGAGCTTCTGAACCCTTTGTTTCCCAGAAATGAACGACACGTCACTTCTAATAATATCGATGTATTATCCACTTAAAAAGTGACAAGAAAACAATCTTATCTTGGAGACGTTGTTACTGTGTCATAGCACTATTTCACGTAAAAATGTAAATCATATAAATAAAAAAGAGAATCATGAATCAGAGCTTGGCAGCTGTAGGGTTCATTCATAAAATGTAAAATTAATTTTAGGTCGGATAACATTTTGTTTTGCATATGATGCTTCTGACTTTCATACTACATTACGCTTAAGGTAAATATTGTAACTTTACAACAGGGTACAAAGAAACCAGTTCAAACAATACAGAAGGGTTTTTTATAAACAAAATTAAAAAGGATTTTACGAAGGGAAACAGTATAGTTTTCCGTCTTACACAATCAAAACTGTTGACATAAAATACAAAGTTTGTTAGATGGCAAGGTAGAATTTTTTTAAAAAATTCGTGCAAAGGTATGAATCCTATTTATAAGAGGAGTTTGCAAGAATTTGCCCGTGTAGTTTTAGATATAACTTGAACAGTTAATCACCATATCACTTGCCAAAGGAACAAACATAATAATGATGGGACAGGATAGTTCATAAAGGTATTGTTCATATTTCTTAAAGGTGTATGTAATGATGATACTGTGTAAATTTTTGCGCAATAGTGTCAATATAATTTTATAAATAAACTATCTATCTAATGTAATAATAATCTAAAATTTTCAGACCAGCATGTAAACTAGTGTTATAAATCAAGAAATAACTGATCTTGCAACAAAAACAAGGTTTTTAACTTTCTCATAGCTTGCCACCTTTGTAACAAATTCAGGTGGATTCAGGGTCCCCCCCATAGGACAATTAGTGTTCCTATACTCCATAACAGATGGTATAGAATGCCGGGCTGAACAATGAAATTCCCTAGCACCAGATTCCAGTAGTATACGTTCCAAATTACGTTCAGTTATTCCACCACCTGCAAAAATAACAGGTGATCCTTCACATCCTCTTGGAAAAAATTGAAAACCTTGCCTCAACCATATTACTGCTACAGTAGGGGGAAAACCCTTTGAATGAGCAGACTACATTGTGCCCCTTTAGGTCAGAAATCAGTGCATATTAGGTTCTTAAACAGAATCATTAAGAATGAAATAATAAAAATCATAATAATTACAATAATAATTATAGTAATCATGATGATGATGATGACTAAGTCAAAATTCATTGACAAAAAATTGTATCTACATACATACACACATTCATACTGGTTTACTGTGTAAATACACTCGTAGCTATTGCTGAGAAACATTCTCAAGCTAATTTTCAGGTACTAAACAGAAGATAAATTAAAACAGACTAAAATAGAATTATCAAAGTATCTTAATTTTTATGAGGTCAACCAGTCAAACTCATGGACTGTATTTCCCTTAATAAGCTATCCAACAGAGGAACTTGTGAAAACATGTACCTTAAAACTGAATCATACAAAAAACAAAATAGAAGACAATGACTTGTTGTGAATAGATGAACCTACCTGGGACAATGGTAATTCTGTCTTTAGCCTAAGAAGGACAAAACTTCAAATTATCCATGTCATTTAAGACATGTATACTTTTTTAAATACCTACTCACACAAAGAAAACTGTTACTTTGTATAAATGACATTTTCAGCTGATGCTATCTTTGAAGTTTGAGTTTCTTCTCTTTGAGTTTGTTAACTTTCATTCTTGGCTGAATTTTCAAAAAATACTCATTACAGCCCTCCAATTTGAGACTGTTTTGGTCACCATGGCAAGTAAAAAATATACACAGCAACTAAAATTTTGGTGAAAGTTGCTGATTGGCTACCAACAGATTTGGGAAAAATTAGAAAAATCTATTAATGTTTGGTTGAATTAACAAATGTACCAGCATGTCCTTGCAATGATATGATGATTTTTTTTTTTCAGTGACCAAATTTTTTTGCTATTTTATACCTGAAGGTCCATTTTATAGCTGAAGGTCGCCAAAAGGCAACTTTTGGAAAAAGGGAACTTGGAGCCCATGAATACCTTTTCAATTAGATGTGTTATAGTTTGTAATCCTTCCAGTGCTGAAGAGTCTTGTCCACTAGTTAAGATACGCTCAAAGCCTATCTTAATAATAACCTCTAAAGATGTGTAAGGATCCTTGAGCATGTCAAAAGCTGCAAAAAGTAAAACATTCTAACTTTAGCCAACTGGAGCCACCAAAATGGTTCAATAACAAACTAACATTTATCAATAAACTTCTAAAATAGATATATATCAGAAAGCTTGAAATAAAGCTGGTTTATCAAACTTCATGTGTTACTTTACATTATTTTGTTTACTTTACTTTTTTCTAACAGGTACACTCAATATTTTAAACATATTGAAGTATTGGAGTTAGGTTTGTAAAAATAAACCTCTGTACACAGTCCAACATTGAGTAACAAAAATTTGATACTTTACAAAGAATTAACTCTGGAATATTCAACACTAAGTATGAAAAGAAAAGATAAGAGAGAACTACCTCTGTGGAAAGTAGCTTGAAGTGGACTTGCCACATCTAAACAAAAACAAAGAGGAAAAGACAATTATCAAAAATTCAGAGAAACATAATAAAATAAAGTTGATACCTTTTTAAATTAAAATAATATTATTTCAGAGTAGGAAAGTAAGGGAATTGCAAAGTGCTTCTTACTCAAGAGCAGAGGTTTTAATTGGTAAATGGAGTCACACCTCCAGAAATGGCCAGCTCTACTGTAGATGGGAACCTGCTCATCATGGTAGCCAATGCCACAGTAGTCCATAATTTTCACTTTTACCAATCTGAATCACTACCCCCTCCCCCCCCTTAAACAGCTTCCTTTCTCCTTTCTCCTTTCTAAAATGGCCAGTGACCTTTATCTGAGGTTATGTTCAACTGTTTTATACTTGTTATAAATTCTCCCTACTCTCACTTAGTTTTTGCCACAAACACAAACTGATAAAGAGATTCTCTAAATTGTGCTTACTAAAAAATAGCAGGGATGAAGACACTTGCACTAACATGCTACCACATTGTATTGAAGAAATACATAATTATAATAAAAATTAACCCAACCTCTGAGTTCTTCGCACCTCAATGTGTCCACTGCCCCTTCACTAAAGGATGACATAAATATTTATCATCAACAATAATACTCTAAATATAATGAAAGCAATGATGTAATGAAAATAATCATCATCATCATAATATTAATAATAATACCAGTAATAATAATAATAGTTTATTTCCAGAATATCTACATGCATCTGCCTCTGATAACTTACAACAGAGAAACAAATTAATTACATAAATTAAGAGCTAAGTATTAATGAACGCCTACAGACTGTTTGTTAAATATAGTAAACAAATGTCTAAAACAATTATTAACAGCTGATTAAGTTTACATCTTGTAAGAACTAGAATTACATGTACTTGAAATATTATATCACACTGTTTATAAGATTTGTTCCCCACAAATCGCATTTAACAAATTGAATGTTGTAGAGCAAAAGTCAGCACATGACCTTATTGGTTGAAGAATTCCAATAATGTAAAGTTTAGGTGCAAAGTCTATAAAAGTTCCTTTCTGAGTAGTACAACTGGCTGTGAAGTGCCACCATAACCCTTTTAACTCTCTAAGAATGACTGGCTTCTAACTTCTGACCTTACAGAATCACTCTTGAATCAAATATAAAAGTCATAAGAATAAAGGAAATGATCAACAATTTCAGAAGCTCTTGACTGTCACACAAGCTATCCTTGTCACTAAGACAGTGGTCAGTACTAAAGGATATACACAGCAAACTAAGGAGAATATGAATGCTAACATTAGGGTATAACATGAATTAAGAAATGCCGAAATTATAAGCACTGAAGTTTTTCTTAGTTTATTCCACCTGAGCATACAGCTCTACCTGAATAGCTTTATAAAAGAGGACTGCAGTTAAAATATTTCTGACACTCACACACCTTGTAAGGATGCCAAACACTACTCCATCTGCTCCAGCTTCCTTAAATATCTTGACATCTTCCTTCATTACTTCAAATTCATCCTCAGTGTAAAGAAAGTCCCCTCCTCTTGGTCTTATCATTACAAACACTGGAATTGGTGATCTTTGTTTGATAATTCTAAACATTCCTGCAAAAATAAGATATTTAAGCTTCACACAAGCAACTTGAACCTAGAAATACTGGAGACGTTAAGTACAATATTTACAGCAAAACTTGAATAGCAAAAAAGGAACTTATTTCCTTCTTCTTTCAGTCATTTTTCGAACTTAAGTTAACATATTTGCTTTTACTAGGAACATGTAATTTTGGGCTAATTTGCAACACTGTTGATCAAAGTTAAGACAGGAAAGAGGGTAAAAGCAGAGATCATTCTTGCTGTTTTTTGTTGCCATGAACATCATGTGTTCACCCATGATCAAATATTATAACCCTTCAGGTATTGAAATTGTCACTAAATAGAGTACTGTAAAGTGGAAAAGAATTTAAACCCTTTAACTCCCTCTGCACACTACATCAATACAGTATCAAGCAGACAAGCAATGTGAATAAAAAGAAAATGTCAGTTAGGGGAGTATTTAATTACGGTTACTGTAATACCAGATTCTTGGAATTTACATCAGAAGAACTGTATGTCAGATAGTAAAAAGAATTACTCTTGAGATCTAAGAGTGAAAAAGGGTTAAAAGATCTTGATCCCAACAAGAAAAATTGACTACCAAAATGTATAAGAAGCACAGACATTGAGTGGTAACAGTAAATTATTTACAACTACCACTCCACATTATGGTAAAATTCACCTGCCTAGAGATGGCGTGGTTCCACCTTCCATCAGATTGGAGCACAGTTCAACACGAGTGGCACCTACATGTACATATAAAAAAGCCACAAAGCTAGGAATGTTGATCAAAATCATAAAAATTCTACCTTAGACATTATAAACAATAAATTTAATTTTAAATTTCCCTATACAATTTGTAATAAAAGAATCACTAGCAAGAGCTTTATTTCCACTGTTCTTTAAAACCCCTTCCCATATAGGGTAGAATTCAATATGGTAAACAATCTAAGTATTTAAAAATATTGCGTGTCTGCTCTCTGAAACTCCACTGCATCTCTTGTAAAATTTCTCATTAGATAGCAAAGTTACTCTGTTATAAGTGTGCAGGATATTCATGAATAATTTATTTAACCCAAAGTTTATTGTGTTATATCATTTTGCTGGTTTGTTCCAAGACTTTGAGGGTGTTCATCATTAAACACTGACTTTAAAATCATTAATTTTTCAGAAGTATACACCTTTGTGAGTAGACAAAGACTACCCAGATCATATGTATGGTGATTATCCTTGGTCAATAGAACAGTCAATTTATCAGTTGATATGTTAATTGAGAGTTGATTAACACATTGGTAGATAATTACAGGTGGTAGTTATAGGAATACACTGTAGATAATTGGTTGCTAGTCAGCACACAGTCAGACAATAGCTAACTAATAATCAGCCAATAGTTTGGTAATACTCTTTGGGTAGAAGACAGTTGTCTTGGTGTCTCAATAGTCAACCAAAATTTCTACTGAGAAGTCAATCCACTATCAATGAAGGTATGGTCACCAATAAGCTGCCTGTAGAGCAACTATCAACCAACTGTTATGGAAAATGAATGTTCGATCGTTTGTCTTACAATGAAAGAGTCAGGCTAATCAGTTGTCTTGGTGTCTCAATGGTCAACTAAAATCTCTACTGAGAAGTCAATCCACTATCAATGAAGGTATGGTCACCAATAAGCTGACTGTAGAGCAACTGTCAACCAACTGTTATGGAAAATGAATGTTCGATCATTTGTCTTACAATGAAAGAGTCAGGCTAATCAATTGAGTGTTGATCACAACTTTTTGACTGCTGCACTGCTAGTCTTTGTCAAGTCAGGCTACAAGGTTGAAAGGTTTACCTGTAGCTATTTAGAGCACCTTGGTTTGTTGTTATTGGTGTATAACGATGCTCTGTTAATCAACTCTCTACCAAATTTCTATGTACATGTCAATCAACCATACACCTAGACATTGACCAACCTATAACCAAGACTATCTACTGTACACACAATCCAAATATTGTAGCATCACTAGTGTCAATGTGCCTGGAAGAGTAAATAAATATCACGGATTTTGCCATGCCTGGAAGCAGACCTCCAGTTGGTTAAATTTAACTGACCTTTGCTTTAATGAACTTCCCAACAGGTTTTTGGTGAGTTTATTAACAGAAATTTCAAGAATGGTCATTACTTACTTACATGGAGGAAGGTAGAAGAGGATGGAAGTGAGTTGCAGGAAGAAAAAACACAGGGTAGCAACTTGTATGTTGGTTTTCATGATTTTAGTAATATTTTCTTTTCTGTTAGTTACACATGCATGCAAATTGATTGTGTATCTAAATGTGTAGGTAAGTTTGATATAGGCAAATTTATCCCCCCACCCACCTAGCCCTGCAGTAAAAACCATCATGCCAAACAAACATCACTACTTCCTATAGTAACAATAGAGTAACAATAGATTTCAGATTAAATTTTTCTGAACATGTAAATTCAGCATGCAAGAAGGCCAGTTAAAGAATTGCTGTCCTCATGCAACTAAGAAATCTAATCCCTATTAAGACCAAAACTCTAACTGCATAAGGCAGCTGTGTTACTTCACCTTACATACCGCCACCTAGTGTGGCACTTTTGTAGAGCTAGTGATTTGCACAAGCTTAAACGGTTACAAGAAAGAGGTTTGAGAGTGGTGTACAATGAAAAGTAAGCTAGTTATTTTCAATTATTGAAAAGGGCCAAGCTGCCAAATTTGATGAACAGACATTTGCATGACATTGCATTCTTATGTATTAAGTTAAACATAAGCTATGCCCAAGTAATATTTGCAATATTTTTAAAGAACATAGCTCTAGGTATAATTTGAAGAAATCTGATTTCTCCACTCCTATGTACAACTCTGTAACTTAAGGTAGGCACTCACTGTGACACTTAGGACCTAAATTATGGGCGAAGCTGTCATTGGATGACAGATCAGCCAAAACACTTAATGAGTTTAAAAGGCGCATTTGTGGCAAAGATCTTGGTGAGTTAATAGAAACCGGCTGCAAGGGTTGTATCCTCAGCTCAACATGACATTTTTACCTTTTCTTTTCTTTTTTTTACTTCAATACTCATATTTCAATGTAGATGTCTTAGTCTTTTAATTCTATATGGTATTTTATATAATTCTGTATTGTATTTTATACTAATATGTGTCCCCTTATTAGTATGGGTTCGGTAAAGTTTTCGCATAGCCCCATACTATTGTAAAACAAATCTGTTTTCCTAATGGCAATGTATTGTTGTTGTCATTGTTTTCTCTATCCAGAACTGGATGCATAACGTAGTATGGGGTTGTGCGGAAATTTCACCATGGGTTCTCCCAGGCTACATGGTTCGACACTTTAATAAAGTTTATTATTAGCAGTAGTAGTAGTAGTTAAGTAACACGCTTTGGTGACAACTGACCGTAATACCGCCAAAATACGGTGTACTTGTTCGACAGGTTTGTGAATTAATCCTTGAAAAATGACTTCTCCAATGTCTCACGAGATAAGTTATGGTGGAAACGATGAAAAAAAAATGGGGTACTAACTCATTTTAGGTTTGTCAGACACAACTAGATCCAGGTAGAAGAGGGAATGAACTGACGTGCTATTTTGAAACGAAATCTGAGGATTGTATCGTGTTATTGTAATTAGAAGGACACTGATATAAACAGCTAAAACATTTCTTACCTCCTTTTTCAGCATTTAAAGCAGACTGTACAGAGTCTACACATACTTCCATGTTGATATTTGTTTACCAGTAAAGAATCAGCCGCTGCAAGCCGCTGCACTGTCAGCCAAAATTCAGTAACCTTCCGCACGTGAATCTTTCATTTTCATCCGTGGAGGACTGGTGTCGAGAAAAACAGTGCACAAGATGGCGGCCTCGTTGGCCATGTGTAGTCGCTGTGCACGAAAGTTAAAACATATTCGCGTAAATCGGCCCCTAGCACTGAGGTAAGATAACAGGGTAACACTAATGTACCTATGGTGGGTTTTAAGCCTCTTAAAATTTTACGATCGAGGTCAAATTGCGGCAGACTAAGTGCATATGTTTTAACATGTAGATTACCCTCACTTACAGAGTGTAGAATACCATGGAAAAGAGCAGCAGTGAAAGGCTGATTTTTCAGATTCTAGCAGATCAGGCAAACTTTAGTCTGATAATTTTGGAAATTCTTATCAGTTGCGGGAAATTTTGGTTGACTTTGACCTGTTGACTGCCAAAGCTACATGTATGTTCAAAACGCACTGAATTGTCTATAAAACACTAACCGGGTAGTCATCTGGTCACACTGATAGTATGAGGTGTATATAAGACTTCTTGGAAGTGTACTACATTATACATAGGGTGTGTAATTTAGACTGGAGTGAAAATAGTTTCAGCTGCACCCATTTGGTCTGAATGTGCCAAGTGACGATTATGCCTCTGCTAAAATTTTTCAGAGGTTTACACGAGGGCGTACATATGAAAACCTGTGAGTGTGTCTATGTTTCATCACCATGAGTTTCTTAGATTCCGTTGTTTTGAGTTCTTTGTGGAAAGGTGGACTTTAACCCTTAAACTGACCCGTGAGTGACCAAGACATTATTTCTCTTTACAATATCAATAGACAATCATGCAGACAAGTAATGACAATAACAAAGTATCAATCAGGGGACTATTACTTGATCCAATACCAAATTCTCTAAACTAACATCATATCATATGTGACAGACAGTAAAAAGAATTACTAATGAGATATTGGGGGTGAAAGAATTAAACATACGTATCAACAAACAACATGCAGAATTAGCATGTAATTATTTGCATCATTTTTTATCCTTCACAGACCACTATGCATTGCACCCTCCAAGTCATCTTCTGATGAATTAGATGATAAAGCCATGTGTGAGTTGCATGTACTCACTTTTTACTAATTTGAAAATGACTACGAGTTAGTCACCATAGACCTAGTTAACCTTTAAACTCCTGTGAGCGACCAAGACAGAATTTCTCCTTACTATATCTATACAATATCATGCAGACAAGTGATGAGAATGAAGAAAAATATCAATTATTGGATTACTAATTGATCTGATACCAAATTCTCCAAACTAACATAATGAGAATCGTTTGGCAGACAGTAAGGAGAATTACTTATGAGATCTTGGGAGTTAAAGGTGAAACCACTTAGCCTGATTTGAGTCTCCTGTAGTTTACTGGTAGAGCATTTAAAATAGTAATCAGAAGGTCATAGGATCAGCTTCCATTGAGAGCACTTGGACCTCATTTTTTCTGAGTATGCGGGAGTCATTCACTGAACAACATCACCTTTCAACTATGAGTGCATTTAGAGCTTTTTTTCAAAGGTTTCAATTTTATTGAGTATTATTTTCCAGTGAAATTAATTATGGCATGTTGATCATAAAAATGCAGAAAGTGAAGATTCTGAGTTTAAAAAGTAGCTTCTTTCTGTTCTTCATTAGATTTGGAAGCTCTATATGCTTCTTCCAGGAAAAGGTGAGTTGCTTTGTTTGCTTTCAGACCTCAGAGACTACTGGTAGTTGAACATGATTGTCTAACTAGCTCGTACATGAACTACCCAGTAACTGTTAATGTTGTAAGTAAAGTGGAAATCAGGGCAGAATTATTTTAAATTGGGTTTATATCTATTTTTAATAATATTGCATCTAGAACATATTAAGTACAAATTAAAGTAGTTTAAACTTGATTTAAGTTGTGATTCAGTTATCTTCTCAGGTTGAATTTTTCTGATATCAAATCCATTTTTATTTTTCTTTGTGTTGTATTGTTTGGCATGATTTGAAACAAAGAAGGATACAAATCAAAGTGGCTTGTAAAAGATTTAGACCAGTCAATAGCATTAAACCACAACATGTACAAAACTTATCTTTTGTTTTAAATTTTATCCTCCAAACAAATTTAGATTTTAATTCCCAAAAGGTTCATCTAATTTGAACCAAATCATAACTAAATGCAAACATGAAGCAACACTTTATTTGAAAAGGTTCTTTTTATTTCTGAAGTGCCTAACCAGAGGTCAATTGTTAGTAGAATTTTAATGGATCCTCTCATACACTTTCCCTTTTTTTTAGAGATCCATTAGCTGTGTTGAGAGCATTGGAGTCAACTGTAAGACCTGTGAGTACCATTTTCCTTCTGTTTTTAATTATACTATAAAACTTGCTTTTCAGTGTGTACATTTAATCTTTACATTAACCATTTTTGTTCTTTATTTCATCAACTTTTTTAGTTTTGTTGCCCAGATGCGACTCTATGCTTGGGGAGTACTTATTAACAATTTTTCTTTTGCATTCTGCAATTATACCAGAACATTATGTAATCAAGTTAATGTGGTAACTCCTTACAAAACTGTTTGTTGCCATGTACAGTGGTTTGAATCTTGGAAAACAAATGATGAAATATGTAACCTTGAACATTAAACAATGTTTTAAATGCACCTCCTCTCAACTTTTGTAACAATCTGACTAAACTCTTCAGTAAATCATTTTCTTGATTCTCAGACACATTTCATGCCAAATCCTGAGTTTATTGAGGACAATAATTTGCTACCAAGAAACAAAATCATGAAGGTTTGTTCTTGATATTGTTATGGCATGATGATGGTTAAAACAATTTATATTTTACTTTCTGGTGCAACGTAGTGAATGAAAAAACTGTACAGTTTTAAGTAGTAGTTAACCCTTTAACTCCCAGAAGTGATCAACATGAAACTTCTCCCTGTAATATCCTTACATTATCTGGCAAACAGACAATGAGAATATTCAAACTTCTTGGATAGAAGCTGCTATCTTAATCTAGCACCAAGTTCCCATAACTAATTTACAAGGAAATGAGTAGCAGCTAGAGAGGAGAATTAACACTCAGATCTTGGGAGCTAAAGGGTTAAAGTTAGGTTCTGTTTCTTCATGACAATATTGTGTGTAGATCTACTTTTTCAATTTACAATGTCATAGTGTATCCAATCCTTATGAACAAATATTTTTTAAAAATTGAGAAAATTTGTATCATACACTAAAACGTGTCCCTAAAGTACAGTAAGTATTTTTTGTTAGGTTAATGGAAAAAAAGATTGAAAATAGAGTTTGTATGTCCTCCTCTCACTGTCTCTATGCGAAAAATAATTGGATGTAAAATATACAAAATGTATCTGTATGCTTAAAGGAAATAGTATGTTTTCTCCTTGTAGATGTAAGTGTCCTGGTCAAAGACAAAAAAAGATTAAAATGTCTTTGTGTGTGAAAATCGACTTTGAACCTGTGTATTGTACAGGGCCCAATTGTTCAAAAGTCAATCAGCAGTAACCCAAGGTTAAATTTTAATACTGGTTTCTTTTTCCCTTTTTTCAAAAGCCCTTTCAGGATAATTTCCTCAATTCTTTTAAGAGTGTTTAATCATTAAATTGTCGGCAGAAAGAATGATATTGAATTTTCTTTTAAAGCTTCCAGATCTGAAATAAGATTACACACTAACCCTGGGTTTTCTTAACTTAACTTTGAACAACCCAGGTCAGGTCTATGGGACTCCTCTTATCAAAAAATTTTTTGATCAATACTTAATTGAGAAAAACTTAATAACAAGGAGATAAGGGTGCTTGTTTATATTTTGAGTACATGATTATTAGGTCAGTACTTGAATGAGCAAATCAGAAAGTTATTCTGGATGGAACTTATATATTCACTTCTTGGTTTATTCTTTGTCGTGTTGTGTTTTGATATGCTTTTCTGTTTTGTTTGTGTTTTTTTTTTTTTTTCAAAGAGTAGTTAGGATTTTTATGATTTACAGTAACAATCCTATTGATAGTTTCTTCTTTCTTGTAGGATCAATGTTATTGGGCCAAGAGGTCAGGTGTAGAAGCTGCTAAGTTTGTGATCTCAAATTGTCCAGGGATTTTTCCTCTTTGGAATGCAAACCCTGTAAGTTGACCTTTTCTGCAAAATCACACCTTGATCTAATTCTCTTTAATGGCCAGTTACAGTAAAGATGTATAAATGTTGTAAATGGCTTTCTTTCTCACTCCAGGCTTGGAAAGTAGAAGGTGCACAAGCTATTGATGTTGATGATGTTCAAACTGAGGATCAACTGAAAGGTTTGTCAGAAGTTGTGTTTAATTTAACAAGTGTACTGGAACATTGATTGAAGTAATCACCAAATGAATATAAAAGGTGTTATCATGATTAAGAAGTTGAAACCTCCTGTTCCCTTAATCAAATCAGTACAATGCAGTTTAACCAAGAGAGGAAAACCACCAGTTAATTTGACACTTACAGTAAATGTTAATGTGCTTCCTTCTCTCAACAGCTCTCAAGCTGCAAGCACTTTAAAGTTTAATATTTCTATTTATTGTGTTCTTTTCTCTTGAAACTTCAGTAGCATCTGGAGTTAGAAGTTTCTCTACTTGAATTTACAGACTAGAAGTGGAATCATATCGATCTCTGACTAATTCTGTTTCATCAGTATTAATTAAGGGGAAGAGTGCCAGGAATGCTGCCCAAGCCTTTGAAAAATTCAAGGAACAAGGTGAAAATTTTTTTTTGTTTTTGCTGTACCATGTTCCTCTAATTATAAATGAGTAGGCCTTGTGCATGTTTATGTTGACCCAATTTCACCCCTCAAGCCTTGCATTTAAGGTGTGGACTGACATATTTTAATTGTAAAGTATTTCCAAAACACTAAAGTCAAATGAATACCCACATAAAAAGAGGCAAAGATTCATGATAGTTTGGTGCAAACAGGACTTGGCAGTGAATTTTCAGTAAATGACATCATCATGCATTAGAGCCATTCAAAGAAATTTTGTTGAGTTCACTTAGAGAGATAGAAACTGGGGAAATATTGATGACAGCTTGCTTGCCATTAGATGTTAAATGTTAAAAACTTCACTATGTACTGTACCACATGTGATGAATATACAGTAGGTTCTAAGTTTTACCAAACTGAGGATCACTTTTAATCAACAAATAGCCATGAGAGAAGTGAGAAAATACAGTACTTGGCCTTCTTTTTTTTAATGAACTGTGTAGTATGATGCAACATGAATGGGAGTGTCTTTGGCTATGCAATTATTGGCCAAAAATCACCCCTTTCATGCCCTTTAACATGTAACAATCTTTATTTTGCCCTTTATTTCCTTGCTTAATGTTTTTCTTAGTATGGTTATTCAATTCCTCTCTTCAGCTCACGGCATATTGGCCTAACATTTTAACCAAAAGAGTATTTGTTCCCAGTCTTCACTGGATGTTTTTCCCCTCAGAAAGGTTCAGTCTATGGAATAAAAGGGCGATATGGGTTATGTGACCTCACAGTTCATTTAATTAACAATATAGATTTCATGTTGCTATACCTCTTTCTAGAGCAAAAAAGCTGCATGAACAAAAAAGTTGCACATGAGACGGAGATGGGTGTGTCACTGATAGAATCTATTTGTTTTACGTAATAAAAAGACAAAAAATGATTGATGGTGATGTCATCTATGCATCTGTCTGCCAATAGCTCATAAATAAGAAGCCATTAAAATGTATGCATGATTCAGCTTATATAAATATGATTTTTTGTTATTATAATTTACAGGGGTTGAAGTGTCACTGGAAACACAAAATAACTTGCTTGACCTGGTTTCCTTTAAACTGGGCACTGAATCAGCTGAAGAGACTTTGACCTTAGAAGTAAGGGTTTCTTAATACTTTTGCAGATGCAACACAGTAAATTATATGCAGATGGAAACCAGAATCCTTTAAACTTAAGCGCAACATGATACTGGTTTGAATTAATGATACCAATGGCTGTTTGAGGTGATGCTTAATCTGAGTTATAACAATCTAACTGTTAGCAATATTTTTTTTAATACCTTTAGGAAAAATCAGAGTATTTAGAGACTGGTGATGCTGATATGGATGAGAGTGAAACATTTAGTAATGATGATGATCTAATTAACCCAGAGGTAATTAATACACATGTAGTATACCTGGCCCTGGTTGTTCAAAGCTGGGTTAAGGTAACCCAGGGTTAGTGTGAAATTTAATTTCAGGTCTGAAAACTTTAAGAGAAAATTCAGTTCAAATCTTTTTGCTTGCAATTTTATCATTGGATGTTCTAAAAAGAATAGTGAAAATTTTCCCAAAAAGACTTTTGAACAAAGAAATAAAGAAAGCTGGATTAAAATTTAACCCTGGGTTAGAGCTAATCGGCCTTTGAACAACTGGGCCCTGGTTTTTACCCACACAAGCCTAATGCTCATAAATACCAGCTGATGTTCTCTGTTTCCATGTCTAAAGCATTTAGAGCATTGTGCTCTTTATTGGTGGGAGTATAAGTCCATAACAGGACATCTTTCAACTGATTGTTGGGTGAGATAGACAGTTGGCCAATTTAGGGAAATTTTATTTTCTCACCTCTCATTCTAAGGATCTTTTGACGTTTTAATTTTTGTTGATCATTCCCTTCTTTAACCCTTTAACTCCCAGGTGTGGCTAAGACATAATTTTTCCTTACAGTACCAATACAACATCAAACAGACAAATGATGAGAATAAAGAAAAATATAAGTTGGAGATTAGTTGATCCAATACTAAATTCTCTGAACTAACATCATTAGCATTGCATGATAGAAAGTAAGAAGAATTACCAATAAGATCTTGAGGGTAAAAGGGTTGAGAATGTTGTGTATCCCTCCCCTGGTTCCTCTCTCAGACCCATTAAATTTTTACCAGTTTATTTATTATCATTTTTAATGTGATCCATTTAAACCTACTGTTTTTTTTTTCTGGAATTAGAATACCCACTGATACAAAATTGCAGAATAATCTCACATTGATTTGCATGTTATGGAAATTGCAATTTAAGCTCGACTTGTAGTTCCTTTCAGATTAAAGAACTGATTAATAATTTGTGTACTTCATTCTATAGGATGATGGTGGTACAATTACTGTTTTATGGAAGTGAGTGAATGGTTTATTTATTCATATATTTTATGTATAATACAACAATTTGTTTTTTGTTCCTTTTTTAAGTAGTTTGTTGTATTTGTTAGTACTATAATACTCTTGTTTGTTTGTTTGTTTGTTTGTTTTTTTTCAAATTAGCAATTAAAACTGTTACAATGTGGCTGGAAATTGTTGCTGGTGTTTCACATGAAGTCTCCTTACTTAGGGACAACTTTTTACCAAAAAAAAATGCTGGATCATTTATTGTATTGCATGCATTGTACATGTATCTCACTTGAAACACAAAGTTTAAAAAAAAATGTTTCTAGAGAACTGAAAAGTTATTTTCATGTCTCTTTTAACAGCAGTGACAATTATGCGGAACGATTGTTTAAAAGTATGACAACCAAAGATGGCCGAACATATGAAGCTATGATGCTAGGTTTGATAAAGGTATAATAATTAAACTTCAAATGATTTTAATTGATGACAGGTCTTTTTTGTTTATTGGCTATGTGAAGGAATTTCTTTAAGACAGGTAGATTCCCATATCATGACCTGAGAAATTTCCTGCTTTAAATTCTTGAGATGGCTACTGGACAGGCTGAGCAGTTTTGCCACTCAGTAAATATCCACCACTATCCATTTCTGCTTTGGTAAATAATTGTTAATTGTTCCACAGAAAAGTACTTTTATAATTCAACCTATATTGTGGGAGTGTCTTCTCTCATGGTTTTGGTTTTCACAATCTCTGTATTTGCAATGCAATTATAAGATATACAGAAAATATGTACCTGAAGACAAACATCTTTGAGACAATTATTGTCTTCCTGTTTTTAGTTTAGAGCCTATGAAAGAGCCTTTGATATGCTAATCAATGGAATGAGAGCAAATGGACACCAAGGTTGGATTTTTGTGTTCCAAATTTTATAAGGATAAATTCAATAAATGAATGTAGTTTTGATTAAACTGATAGATATTGAATTAATAATTTATCTGTCAGTTTTACTCACGAAAACCTTTTTTTTTTTTGATATGCAGCTTCTCTGTTGACCTACAATTATCTATTAAAGGGAATCTCAAGAATTGAAAATTGGGAAATGGCACAGGTCAGTACATATTACCCTGACTGTACAGCTCTTTCACTGTTCAGGTATATCTGTAATGGGAGAAAACGTCATCACAGTTAGAGGAAGAACTGAAGGTAGATGAAAAGAAAAGGTAATTATCCTTACTATCTGCCATACAATTCTCATGATTTTTGGAGAATTTGGCAATAGATCAACTAATAGTCCTGTTCTTTATATTTTCCCCTATTCTCATCACTTGTCTGCTTGATATTATATTAATATTGTAAAGAGAAATTCTGTTTTGGTTGCTCATGGCAGTGAAAGGGTTAAGGAGTCCTTTAATTCCATTGTTGTTCCAAATGCTGTCTCAAGTCTGAACAGATTTGGGTTTAGTAAACATTTTTTTCAATGGTGTGTAGTATTTACAGACTGCAGAATGCAGATCTGCCTTTACCTAGAAATAGAAGTTGACTTCAAGCAAACACATTTTGGAACTAGCTACCAGCAAACCAGAAAAACTTACCAAGCATCATGAACATTATGTAGATGGTTATCTCTCTGGCCTTTGTTGCGAAAAAGTTTGCCAAAGTACATGCTTGAAGCCTAAATGATCTTTTAAAGTTTGCCTTGACACTGACACAAACTTTGAGTGAAATCTAAATTACTGGTTTGACATCTTGGCTTTCCTTTTTCAGATTCTTGTCAAAGAAATGGTTAAAGAACCTGTGGTCATTCCTGATCTCAGTGAGTTTATTTTACTGTAATAATTCCTTTGAAACAAATTGTTCATGTCATTACCATAAATACCATCACTAATTGTAGTGTGCATGTCATTTTTTAGAGAATGCCCACTGATCATGTTTCTTCAGTCAGTTATTCCTTTTTTTTAGCTATCCTTTTTTTTAGCTATCCTTGAGTACTTCCCCCATTATTGCAGTCAGGGTTTTTTAGTATTTTATATTTAAACATGACCTGGGTGTGAATATGATCCTGCTGAATTCTCTTATCTACCTAATTTATTTTTCCTCTTCTTCCTCATCTCCCTCCTTTTTAACATAATCAGCAAAAATTAAATTTAGGTATTCCTTTGTATTTCTCTACTAGTCACATTCAATTCCCTTATGAGGGTTGCTGTTGTAGGAGTTAAAGAAGGACAAAGGACAAGGCTTGTCCTGTCCTTGATGAGAGACATGAAAGATCTTGGAATAGGTAAGTTGGTTCTGTTATATTGCAATGAGGGTCCCAGCATCATGACTGGAACACATCTTGAATCTTTTAATTTGTTACCCAATATATTGCAACCCCTGAAATCACATTTACCAGACTATTTTCAGACCTTGTATTGTTATCCCCAATATCTTGGGTCAATTTCAGTGGGAAGAAGTAACAATACCTCTGTTGTCGCAAGGATAGATACATAACATGTTTCTTTTAACTTCCAAGATCTGATTAATTCTCCTCTCTAGCTGCTACAAATTTCCTCTCAATTCATTGTGAGAATTTGGTGTTACGTGTAGATCAAGATAAGAAATTTTACCTGATGAGTTTGAGTAATCTCATTACTTGTTTGCTGAATATGCTGAATGGATATTATAGGGAGAAGTTACATGTTAATCACTTCTGTTAGTTACATGGTAAAAGAACACTGATTTGTTTACAGTTAAACCTGAGTTATATTTCATGCCCAGAATAAAAATTCTGGGTTTGAACCAGAGTATGGGTCATTGTTTTGTGCTCATTAGGACCTCTCTGCATCCAGGGTACCATCAAATTTCTAGGGAAACTTCACTAAATGCTAAGGGAAGGATAATAGTTCAACTGTTGACAAGCTTCCATCCAGGAAGAGAGGTAGTACCTCTCGTGCTATTTATCAAGACTGAAGAGGGAGAATTTAATTCTTTTTTTTTTCATCAACCTTTCCTTGATTTTTTAGACTATGTCATATTGCAGTACATGCAAAATGCTGCTTAATTAAGTGAGGTGTAGATTATTTGTTACATAGCAAAAAAATGAAAGGGGTATTTTGAAATGAATAAGATGTCTGTTCTTGGTAAAAGAAACTTATTTTTTTCATAACTAATGGAAAGTATGTTTTCTTTAAGAGCCTTCTCTGGAATCATACACTCAGTTACTACGAGCAGAATACCTGCCATTTTGGAACAAGAAGAAGGAAAGGAAGCAGAATAAACGTAAATGTCAGATTATGTACAATGTAATTATTTAATATGTGTTGATTATATGTAGTTCATCCCCATCCAAGAGGAAAGGTGTGAAGACCAGTAACCTTGTAAAGCAACAGCTAGAAAAAGGGCTTATAGGCATGTGGCCTAGTGACAAAGAAGAAACAAGAAGATGAGAGACAGACAGACAGTTGGACTGTTATCTAGAGTAACAATTTATCTTTAAAATCAGCATTTTTAATCCCTATCATATCAGTGAAAACTTTTTATTTCACTTTTATTGTTGTTTCTCCAATTACCATATTCCCACCAATAGTGTAACTCCATTTTTCTGCTTATGAAATATGCAAAACCCACAATTCTTCTAGTCACTCTGATGAAAAGGCACAAGTAGATTGATGGTCAGCAAAAAAATGGAAAGCCAGACAAACATGTGGACAAACAAACACAGATATTACTGTGAATGTATACCTGGACAACACCAAACAAAAACATTTCCTGTAATGAGTAGGTACATTCAAGTAGACCCACAGATGGGTAAATAAGAGTCTGTGAGACAAAGTGATATAGAAGACATTTATACACTATAATTATAATTTCTTAACCATTTAGAAACTATTTCTTTTTTCCTTGTCTTTTCAGAACCATTGAAAAAGATGTTTGCAAGTCCTGCAGTTCTTGATATAATTCTCACTCAACTGGAATCTCTGCCCAATCTCCCACCCATTATAGATCCAGAAGATAGTAAGACTTCTACCAGAGAAATATACCTCTTTTTAGCCTTTTACATGATAAGCTCATGATATAAGAAAAAGAGTTTTTGATTGCTCAGAAGCAAATTGAATATGTCAATATGGACCTTTTGCACTCACACAGATGAAGAATCTTATATTTGCGTCCTTTTTCACATTTGTACTTTGTTTCTTTTTTATTTTAGGTTCCACTAACACACCATTTTTCTTGATTCTATTTTGCTAAAGTTTTTCTCCAGTATTGACTATTTTGTCCATTTTGTCCATGCCACTGTTGCCAAACCCCTTTATAGCTGTAATAATCATTTCAAATATCTTTCTTTCTTTAAAAGAAAGGACTTTGCCAAGTCTATTTGTAATGGAAGTTCCCCACAGTCTCTTGGTGTGTTTAGGCCTGTTGAGTGTTTTGGTATTTAAAGAAAAACCTAAGATAGCTGTATGCAAGTTTGCCAGGGACACAATTTTTTATCCTTTTTCTCAACTTGTCTTGTGATTAGCTGAAAGATGTCAGGTGGCAGAGGTTGAAAGTGTTGCATTTTAGGGTGTTAGCTTACAGTTACCGGTAACTCAGGGTTTAACGGAATGACCATGGCAAAAAAATAAGTCAGATTACATGTGCAAAATAAAAAGGTTTATAGAGGTTTTTGGAAATAGTGACTACATGGAACAGTTATAAATAGAAATAATTCTTTCAAAAAAATTATTTACGTTGATCAGAAGATAAGATAATGCAAAAAAAAAAAAGGTTATTGAGGTATGGATGATTGAGGTTTCACCCTATTTATGCCTCATTATTGTTCAGATTTGAGAATTATATTGTATATGAAAATTTTCCTAATTATGCTTTTGTTTTGAGCTGATGAGAAAAAATTTATTTTTTAGGCAACTTCCTCAACACAGCTATGAGTGCAGTAAGTATTTTTACCTAAAAAATGACACTCATGTTTACAAATATTTGATAAGGAATGAAAAGACTTCAGAGCATTCCAATTTTTATTAGAAAGAAATTGAAAATAATTTAGAGCCCAAGTTACTCAGTTCATAGGAGTATTAGTTCTGGCCTGTTAAAAGACTTCAGAATTGACAAACAGTCTTTCCCATTTAACCACAAAATGATGCCTAAAAAATTTTTACAAGAAAAAAACCATAATTGAAACAAAATTTGATTCTAATTTGTTCTTTTTAAAGGCTATTCTTTGTATTGATGCAAATATAGCAATACGTGTGTACAACTTGGTGCAGAAAGACAGGAATGTTTCTTATCTTGGTGTGAAATATTCTCAGTTCTAGTAAGTGATTTTTTTGTGGAAAGATTTTTAATGTACATACAAGAACATTCCTACCATAGTATACACACTAGTGTATAAGAAAAGTATGACCTTACTGTTACCTTGCTTTGTGTACTACTGGTTATACAAAGAAGACTTGCAGAAGCAAAATTAATGTACACAGATGTAGTGAGATCATTTTCATCTGGGAAAAATTCCATGAGAGATAATCTTGTCACCCCATCTGAGTTGTCTGACTGAATTCTTTGAGCTAAGGAGCTATGAAGATTTGCTTGATTTTGAACTGACTGAGCAATTAATTTCAGTGGATCATGAATCAAAAGACAAAAGAGCCTGTTTGTCAGTCAGTCAGTCAGTCAGCCAGTCAGCCAATCAATCAGAATGACAGATTGTTTTTCTAATTGACTGGCTCAGGGATTGGTTGATTGGTTGATTGATTGACTGGCAAGTGAATAGATTGACTGACCAATTGATTCTTTAATTGATGTTATGATATTTCTCATTCCTCCATCCATTTGTCCATTCATTCATTCATTCATTCATTATTTCTGCTGTAGTTCCACATTTCTTTTGGCCCTCTCAACATCAGATGTGGAATTTTCTTTGCTATATAAGTACTACAAAGAAATTGTACCTGAGGTATGTTTAATAGCTGTTTCATATTATATCTTTTGATGTATTGCTTGCTGTTGTTGTAACAAACTCATGCTTTTTTTTGTCTGTTATTGTCTCTTTTTTTATTGTAATACCCTGGTTTATAATCTTACAGTTTTTCTGATGTTATCTTAAAGCTGAGTGTTGAAGCATTTGAAGTACTTCTTGTATGGATCTTTGTTTTGACTACTATTTGGAGCACTCAGAACTCTTTTTCTCAGTGTATGCATATGTCATTTATTACATAAACTCATCTTTCACTTGTCTTTTCTTTGTTAGAAAACAACTTGAACTATTTTGGCACACCCCCTTTGAAATAATAAATAGTGCCAGAAGAGAAAAGAAATTAGGTGTAAACATTTAAAGTCATTGTTGTTGCCTGTAACGTAAAGCAAATCTCCCTGTTCAAGAGAAGATATTTATTTTCTATAAATCTTTTTCATCACAGCAGGTCTGTTATTCCATTCATATTTTTTGAATATTTTTAAAAAATTGTTTGCTTTTTAGAAAATTAGACCAAGATCATACGTCTATGTCACCCTTCTGAACCAGGCGTACAAGACTCACAATGCAAAAATTGCTCCACAACTCTATCAGGGTAAGTTTTCAACTTATCACAGTACCTCCACAAAGTTTCATGTACAATTCTGGATTAACTTCCAGTAAACCCCTTGTACATGTACCTTCTCTATTTAGTCCTTAACAAACCTCATTGCTTTTTTTGTTAACTCCTTTACATCTCTTCCACATTGGCAGGCATTATTATCTTTCTTTTATGCCCATGAAAACTAGCCTTCTTGGCCTTTCTTTTTTTTTAGGAAAAAGTATTTAGTGTTTTTAATCATATTGTCAAGGCCAGAAAGGTCTCAAATATAAAAGAAATATCAATTAGGCTTAAGATTAAGATTAATTGAGCTGGCAACCTCCATCATGAGCTCATTTTTTTTTTACTTGAGAAACAGAGAAAGCACAGTGGTGAGAATTTGTCCTCCCAATGCAGTGGACAAGGTTCTTTTCCTGAGAATAGCATCACTTTTAGGTTCAGAATTTTTTTCAAGGTGCTTGTTCTTCCTCTCAGGGTTCTCCTCCAGGTTCCATTTTTTGGCTCCTCCCTCAAAAATTTACACCCCAAATTTTCAATTTGAACTAGAAACTGAGAACAAGAGGAGCCTCTTGAAAGTTTATTGCAGCCAGACAGCCTGCATTAGATAGCTCATCCTCAAAATGCAGCCAATTTTTGTAAAGTGATAAAACAATGAGAAGTAGAGTAGCAGATCCTATTAATTAGTCTATTGCTAAGCTGTGTTCCCCCCTTCTAAGCATCTGACTCACTCCCTCCATTGACCATTCAACTCTTGCAAGGATTTCCTGCTGGTTCCATTGTTTTTTAACCTCTTATCATTTTCAAACAAAGTCAGTTGAAGCTGTCCTTTTGTTCTTCTCCCAAACAGTAGGAAGGAGTGAGGTACAGGAAGACTAACTATTGCAGGAATTTCTTAGTTAATGTTTTCTTTTCCTTTAACAGATATGCAAAAGTATAAAGTAGAGATTTCAGAAAATGTAGTCAGAGCATTGATTAAAACCCTTGCTGCAGCTGACAATCCTGAGGTTTGTTGTGATCAGTGGAAATTCAGAAACATCTACTCAATAAATAACGGTGGTAGTGATTATCTTAGGAATTGTACAAAATTTTAAATACTTAAAAAAGGTTGGAAATTTTTATTTTTTTCCCTTGGTCCCCCTTCTGTTTGATGGCTGGGGAATGTTATTGCCTGGAACCTAGAAGTCTTCCAAACCAGTGGTGGCCTTAGGATAATTCCCTCTTTCATTGTATTATAGTCTGCGCAATCAGATTCCAAGTTCGTTACTCTGTCATTTCAAATTTGCTATCCCAGACCTCTCTTGCGCCCCCTTATTCATCCCCTCCAGACTCCCTCTTTTTTCTTCTTTTAAATGGATGCCACAGAAAGAAATAAACCATGTAATCTCAGTCAGATGTCAAACTTTATTGTGATTTTAAAGTCACTAAGTGTTTTTAAATCATTCTTCATCTTAGGATCTTAAAAAGAACTTGGAAGTCATGCACGATGTTTTACATTGGGTAGGAGTATTCAAGCTAAGGTATGTTTCTCTTAACCCGTGTGCACTCAAGATCAGGTTGTTAAATCTCCCTTCCAGCTGTTGCACATAAGCATGCAAATAAGTTAGGAAAATTGCTTTTTTTGCACATCACAGCCTCTCAAGGATGTGTTTTTGTATTCTCATCACCTGGTTGTTGAGTATTGTATTGAATTCGTGAGGAGAAGTTACTTGTTAGTCAACTTTCTTCCTCTTTTTAAGTCTTTTTTTTTTTTGTCGAGTTTTAGACTAAGAGAATTATAAAGATTGCATTTAATTCTACGTTTCTCTCAAACTTCCCTTTCTTTTTTCTCCAGCTGTATAAGGAATATTGTAAAGAAACTTCTTGATACTAATGTTAAAGTGAATATTCTAAACTGAGTTTGAAAGGTTTTTTTAATCTCTAATGAGGATCTTCAATTTTTGCTGTTATAGTATTCCTCCACTGACCATTGCTCTAATCATTCGGATGTACACTGTAAACGATAAACTAGAAGAAGCTTGGTAAGGTTACAAACTACCTCATAGGTTATAATATTCTCAACAGGGCCGTTATGAAACCACTTATTGGAGGAGATTGCTTCCTGTATAGATATTATTTTACCATTATTATTATTATTATATCTTTTTCTACATCGTATATTTTAATAGTAAGCCATTGAAATTGAGTAGCCAGTAAAGATTTAGACAGACACTTTTAATTACTGCTTAGTCTTATTAAAAGGGCCCGTCGTTCAGAAACAAGTAGCTGGCAAATCATCGGCCTCTAGTGCATCTATAAAACACTGGCTGTTTTTATACACACAAAAAATACATGGGTCCGCACGTTCTCTTTATTTTATCCTAAATGCCGTTCGGTAGAGGAAATGGATTTCTCTGATTGCTCTGATTGTGAATTGCTCCAACAATTTTAGCTCTGTAATTAGTTTTGGTACCCTGTTATATGATATGATTATTCCCAATTTCATATGCTTTCATTTACAGCACTGAACAATTGCTTTTGTTGTTGTTGTTGTTGTTGTTGTTGTTGTTGCTGTGGCCATACCATCCTAAAGACACCACCTTCGACCTATTTTTGGAATAGCATATACATTTAAAAACAGATTTATGTTAGGCTAACTAGGGATTCTATTATTTCAGGAATTGTTTAGCGATGTACAATAAAGTAGAAGCCTTTCCACAGTAAGTACTTTATGAATTGTCAGGTCAGGTTTTATTAAAGTGTGGAGACCTTTCTCTAGTGTCTCTAATTTTTTGCCTGCAACTCGGAAATTACTCAAAAAATCGTGGCTGTATTTTCTGTGCTGATTTTGGCACCATTTCTTGGGGACTTTTCTGGAAAAAAATTCACTTACTATGTCATTTTAAGTTGTATCATGTTTGGCCTCATAGCCTACTTGTTTGCGACATAGCTAACATGTATAGGATGGGTATTTAAATCGAAGTTTATACCTGTTAATGTAAGACTTGATATAAGAATATTTGAATAGCAAAATTAGTTGTTCCTGAACCCAAAAAGGAGTGTAAATTAGTGGAACGCAAGATTTAAGAGTATTTCTGGTTCACGTGTCTTGTGAGTCTTACGTTGTAGAAACATGGACTTCTCATGGTAATTTTTTTTTTAATTTCACTCCAGTTTTTCAAGTCTCTTTAACATACTGAATCTGGCGGTGAAGAAAGGTGACAAGACCAAAGTAGTGGTAAGTGTCACGCTGCATGTGACACTAGACTGTCATAGTATTTTTCTGGCTAGGATGTCACACTCTAGGTGTGTAGGTGCTTCAATCGATATATTGGGTGACAGGTAAAGGGATGCGCTCGGCTTAGTTTAGACGTGTGCATCAGAAGTAAGATATATGGTGTCGTTTCGTTGCAATTTTACATGGATTGCCTTTGTTTCTTTCCATCTCTACTTTTGGAAATCCTTCCAGAATATTACCTGAGGCTGCATTGTTTCATCCAATAACTTCAGACGATTTTGTGTACTTCCGTAAAATTTTTACACCCCAAAGATTTGACAGTTTGTGTATCGCTCTGTCTTATTAGGTGATTTTTGTGTGTGTGGGTCCCAATATTTGTTGCTGTTGTGATACTTTTCAACTCTTTCAGGCAACTTTTGAGCTGATAGCCAAGTATGGGTTTGAATTTAACAGTCGCAGACGAAGTCGTTATTATGATGCAGTCGACCTTCCTCCTGATAAAAGGCAAGGCACTTGTAATTATTCTTTCCTTAGTATCATTTACAATCAGTACTTTTGAAGGTAGAAAACACAACACTGGTAATAACAAACAAACTTGAGAACCAACTGACTTTTGGCTGACTGATTTACTGACTGAATGTCAAATTGGCTGGATGGCTCGCAAGCTGATTGATTGACTAACAGACTGCTAGACTAAAAATTTTACAACTGCCTGCCTGGTAGCTATACTGACTGACCAACTGCTAGACGACCAGGCTAATAGTCTTACTGACTGCTTGCCTGATTGCTAGACTAACTGACTGACTGACTTCTCGACTGCTAGGCTGAAAGTCCTACTGACTGCCTGCCTGCCTGATTGTTAGACTGACGGATTGACAGACTTATCGTCTGACGGACTAAACCGCCAATTTACCAATTCATTCATCATTATTTCATTTATCATTATCAGAAAACACATCGACAAGTTATTTGAAAGTTTAGCTGCTCTCGGTAAGTGCTTTGAAGGTTCTCACTTACTCAGTTTCTCGGTAATATAGGCTCCGGTAGTATTTCTTTTTTTCAATGCAAGATATACTTAAAGAGGGAGGGCTGCATTCTGTGACATAACTGAGGGAAAGCCTTAAAGCCTTATTTTGGTTTTGTGGTTTACAAACTTACGACAGGCCAACATGACTTTAGAGTCGTAAGCCATTTAACTTTGATTTACACGAAACAATTCGTGTCGTAAGCCTGTCGTAAGCTTGTCGCATGCGACAAAGTCGTACCGTGTAAATAGGCCCTTAGAGAGCCATTTAACTTGTTGACCCTTTCCACCCTAAGGTTAACATTCATACTCTTCCCACTGTTCTCTTTACAATTCCTGTGGTACCGACAAAAAGTAATTTATTAGAGCATTTATGGCACGGTGGTGAGAACGCACGCCTTCCCACTACTGTGACCCGGATTCGATTCCCGGATCTGGTGTCGCATGTGGGTTGCGTTTTTTGTTGGTTCTCGTCCTTGCTCTAAGGGTTTTTCTCTGGGTCACCCCTTCACAAAAGCCAACGTTCTAAATTCCAATTCAACCTGGAAACAGTGGACAAGAAGAGTCACCTCGCGGAATGTCCTCCATTAAATCCCATTTTTTGTAATTTGTTTGACAATTAGGTGATCATTTCTTTTATTCACATGACCTTAACTTTTAATTCCTAAAGGGTGTGTAAGGAGAAATACAAAGCCAGACACTCCAAGCGGTAAAGGGGTTTATTCAAGAGATAAAGTAGTTAACTCTAGTATTCTAAAGCTATACCCAGTCTAATCAACACATTATGTCTCGATTAGACCATTTATCTGTTTGTCTCTTTTTTTTTTGTTTTAATAGAAAAAAACAGGAAGAAAGCAATAGACGCAGCAGCTAACTTGCCGGATGAGGTATGGATCTGTAGTTGTCTCCATGTGTATACAACTTTAAACCTTTTTCTTATAGGTGTAAGTGGTTATTCATTTTTTTAATTTCGATTTCTTTTGAAAAATACAGAAATAAATGGGCAAATTTCTATCTTTTAACCACGATGTTTTTATATCTGTGTTTAAGGATGATGCCTCACATAACCCAACAGAGATTTAAGGAAAAGAGTAGATGCAAAGTGCCCAAACGAAGAGCACAGAAAACATCGCGGAAATCTCTGAACAGTAATATAGACTTTGTTACAATCATTTGTCGTGGACGTTAATTTTGTGTTTCGGAAGCGTTTTATTTTTTGAACAACCTGCTAGTTCGCACACTTCCGTTAATTGACACGCACGAAGTATTAAGCAAAATCGTTCCCAGGGTCTCTCCTCTTTCCACCCTACGGAGCTAGGGAGACTGGACAACGCCGTGGGGTCTTCTCTCTGTCGTTCTAAATGGTCTGAAGTCGGGAGAGAAGGGGTACTATGGCGTTTTTTAAGTGCAGTTTCATAGGTCGGAAAGTGGTCGATCTTAGCAAATGGCAACATACAGTAAACCAATGAGAACTCAAAACAGATGCAAGTATGAGACACTAAGCGCGCAAACAAACAAACAAACGAAGGAAAAAATGATGTTTTTTTTAGATCAAGTTTTAAATGGCTCTTAATGCATCTCCTTACAGATCGCAAGTAAAGTAGAAATAAAGAAGATTGTTTTGGACAGTTTCAACGTGCCGTTCACTTCGAATAATATGCGTGTTTTGCGTCACACTACTACTGTTATATGCTTTCGGTTTAGGTCCGTTTGGTCACCTCACAAATACGAATTTCATCAGTACTATTTTGACTTGAACTAAATTTAAATAAAAAATATTTGCTCCACAACTATAGACAAATCGTCCAACTTTTTTATCCAGTACCACGAGAGGTAGTTTTCCACAGTCATGCGGTTTGGCCTTACAGCTAACTTTTCTCATGTTCCCCTTTCCTCTCTCACGGTTAACTTTTCTCCCCCATTTCTCTATCCTCCTCCTCTCAGCATGATTCAGCTGGTTGGACGTGATGGAATAGAACATCCCCGAGATTTCACGAGCCTCTGTTTCAAAGAGAGGCCAGGGGCTCAGTCTTTGATCCGAGAATGATTTGTCACTCTCATCCATTTTAACCCGGCTGTCTTTCACAATAAAGATTGGATCAGCGAATGTAGTTTTAAAGGCCATTTAAGTGCCTCATGGAAAAAAAATAATGGGTATTTCAGTATCCAACGAGCCCATCCTTTCCCCAAACTTATATTTTATACAACATATAGCGACATGTTGGGTATGAATTATTGGCAGGAAATTTTGTCACGGTGTGAAAGTGAAAACAGTCATGACTAGATTCTTCAAATCCACCTTTGGCGTCTTTGATAACAATTAGCTTTAACCCTTGAACTCCCAAGATGTGATTGTTAATCCTCCCTTCTAGCTGTTTCGCATTTCCTTACAAATTGGTTACGAGAATTTGGTGCTAGATCGTGAGAACAAATCCTTCCTGATAAGTTTGAGTTTTCTCATTACCTGCTTGCTGGATTATGTATGGATATTATAATTACATGTTCATTGCTTCTGGGAGTTGAAGGGTTAAGTTTACCAGTTCTTGATACCATCGTTACGACCAAGGTAGAGTCTATCATCAGTACTGTAAGGCTAACAACTAATTGCGACCCATCTACGAAAACCATAGGGTGAACTCTTAACCCTTAATTAAAACCCAAACCGATTAACATGGTAATTTTCCTTACAGTATCAATTGAGTAGCCAGCAAACAGGTGATAAGAATAGAAAAAACTGAACAGTAAGCGGCGGACTCTATTTTAACGCTCTAAAGAAATTTACAAGCAACTGTTTAACAGCTTGAAGAGAGAAGTATCAGTCTGATCTCGAGACTTACGGTTAGGAGGCCATACCACTCAACTAAATCAGTGATATTTTTTTTCATATTGATCTTCAGTTACAAGGAAAGGACTGGGGTTCACGAAATTTACCCATTTTTACTCTTCCAAGCTTAAAAAAGCGAGAAGCAGTTCACGAAATTCACAGATTTTTACTCTTCCAAATTTAAACGGTGAAAATCAGTTCATTCCTTTTGGAAGGGATCCAGCGATGATGAAAGATTGAATTTTTCATATTACTTACTAAGCACGAGTAAAGAGAAACGGCATGGTTGGAATTGTGTAAATATTCGTCTACTTTGTAGCTATTACTGTCACCACAGTTCTGTCTCACTGAGGAACAACATGTGAGCCGTTTTCATACTTCTGAATTGTCGCCCAGAGTTAGGAAACTAATTTAGACTTTCAAATACGAGTATATTTTAATCTGTAAAACTATCTTTCCCGAACGAATGATTGTTACACCACTTGTTTTGAGTACTTTATTGGGGAGGGGGGAAGACAAGGAAAATAGGGGCCAATTGGGGAGGGGAGAGGCCTGTAGGAGAGGGACTTATTAAGGAGAGACATTATTAGGGAGGAGGAGTCTTATTATGAAAGAGGGACAACAAGAGAGAAAGTTTATTAGAGCGTTTACGGTAGATGCACATATTGTTCCTTTTCTTCGACTTAACTTGAGATTACTTAAGTTTAGGGTTTACGACACCCAATCAAAGGCGCCCTTGAACGAACTACGATAAAATCTCTTTTAGAGTGTTCTTTTGAGTCACAATCAATAGTCAACATTATTTTGTTCTAATAAATTTTAAAAACCCGTGCTAAATTTTTAAAAATGTTCTGACATCATGAGCACCACGAGAGAGGACCACCCTGTGAAAGGATGAGACCCCTTCCCATGACCTGTCCCGTCGTCGTACTGTTCCCATATGAACCCTGACCTCTCGTACTCCCTGAACATATTTTTGATTAGATTTTGTCGTAAATCTGTGTAAATCGCTTTAGCTGTGCCCTGGTAAGGCCCCGGGATGCTAGCGTAGTGGTTCAAGGCCCTCACGGCCAGGAAGTTGATGTTGATCCATATGGCTCCTCTCCAGTAAGGAGCATCGTGTTCAGTGTTGTGCTTCTTGTAGACGGGGTCGCTCTTGGACAAGGACCGTATACCGGACTTACCCCACAGCTTCTCTGGGTCTCTTAACTGAGTGAGAACTTTTTCAAGTTTGGGTGAAGTGGGATCTAGGATCTGAAGCAGAAATGGAAACAAGCTGACGTAACCAACTGCGTTCACGTACCTAAGAGAAGGACCCTGCTTTGATGTAACGATGCGAACAGTCTTTTTGGGCGAACCGGGTTGATTCGGATACATAACACGCTGAACAAGCTTCACAAACTTGGTATGATTGCCAAAATCGCTATACGTCTCCGCCTTTGAAGACCAATGATACTCGTCCAACAGCCTGTTGTCCGACAGATACTGGCTCGTTGATTTGTACAAGCCGGTATCTGACTTCTCACCCACAGCCTCAGCGATGTCAGCCATCAGTCCAGCAGCAAATGCCATCCAGCAACGTAGATCAACGTGCCTTTCATCGTCTGACGGGTGCGACGCACGGGGATAATCATCCAACCCGGAGGTAAGCGTCTTAGGATTCAACTCTCTGTCTGTCTTAGCATCCCTCCCGTGCCATCTGTATGTAGATGGTTGATTTCCTAACTGTGTAGTGTTGAACCAATTAAACCACGCCTTCAGGCGAGGAAAAATCTTCCGCAAGTATTCTTCATCCAACACGCCCTTATCCACCATCGATTTGATAGGCAGGATCAAAGTGGGTGGGTTTGCGTTTTCGTTGTGCTGTACGACGAAATCTGAAGGTACTTTCGTTCGGGCTTCGTCGCCGAGAATCTGCTCCCTAGGAATCCAACCTTCAATGTTGATCAAATCCAGCCAATGGCCGATGATATCTTTGCTTATATCCGAGTCCCACTGACTGATTAGTAGTTGGTGGAAGCCTTCATCCCAGAGGAAACCTCGTGGAAAGAAAGGACGCGACGGAACTGCGGTGTACAAAGCGCTTTCCCAGTAATCTTTCGGTTCCTTAAAGAACCGAGAAATCACTTTTGAGCTTCCATAGAAATAACCAATGCCTCCAATCATGTTACTTAGCCCAGCCTGCGCAAATTTAACCTCATCGTCATTAAACCCTTTAGCCTTCAACGAAAACTTTTCTTCAAATTTTTTGTCAAATTCGGCGCTGTATTTATCTCTAAGATTCGTGAAAGCAGCCCCTATCAGGCTTTTCTCCCTGGTTGAGGAACTTTCAGACTCGAACACAAACTCCACGTCGAAAGGAAGTTCGAGAATCCATTGCTGGACAAATAGGTTCACTGGTAACTCACGCCCATTCTGGTCACGTTTAGCCACGTGACCTGCTAAGGCAAGCAGCTGCATATTCTTGCCATCTTTTATTTTTTCCCCACGCATGTTCTGCATCACTATTTCCTTGACCGAATGCACGTGCGGCGTGTGTGTAATTAAGAACGACGACAACAAGACTTTAGAGGGGCGTGGAAAATATAGCTTAAAAGAACCGAGTTCAGGCGTGTAACCGCGCAGCGCTGTAAGTGTGTTCTTGTGGACAACTGGCTGCAGTTGGGCTTCTCCTTCGTAAGTGACATAGAAAAGTAACGAAACCATCTGCCTGGGGTTTCCCTAAAAAACGAATCGGACGCAAAAATAACAAATAAATAAACATATTTCAAAGTGTTAAACGATTTAGAGTCATTTGAAATTTCGATTAAGTATCTACGATGAAATACTGCATTTAAACTGTTTACATTTTCAATTTCACCTCAATCTGACAGTTAAATCTAAGATAAAATCTTAAACAAAAAATCAAGTCTGTGAATGAGACTGGTGAAATGTAACTTAAGGTTGAAAAACTATCTCTCTTGTCAGCAATTAAGCAAAGGTCAGAAAGGAAAAATCAGTGCATCCCTTTAAAGTTTGATTTTGGACACATTTCAAAAATGCTGATTATTGGCTCATGCTTGTTGTGTCATTAAGTGACCCTGAGAATCAGGGTATGACTAAATGGGGCAAAAAAACACCAACCGTTCTCTTTCCCGAAATTCTTGCAGTCCAGTCTCCACCATGATCTCCACCCAACCTTTTCACAAAGTCTGTATTCAACTCAAAATCTTTGTCAACTATTTGCTGAGAGCCAAAGTTGGTGCCATCGTGTTTAAGCCAACCATACTTGGGAAGCCCGTCAGACTGTTCACAAGTGTGACGAATGGTTACTTGACCATCAGGTGAAAGCTGAGGGAACCACATTAAACCTGTCATGAGGGACTTAGGACTCCTTGTTCTGTGAACAATAGAAAAAGATTTGTAATTGAGCAAGTTCAATCCACACAAAATCTTCTGGAAGGTGGCCAGCTAAATAAAAAAAAAATAGCATGCGTCTTCATTTTCTGCCATAATTATACATTCTATGTAGGGTTATGGAGATGAAAGAGGTAATCCTATATTTGATATTCCCACACAAAGAAGAAGATCTGGTGGTCTAGTTTGATCCAGTAATAATGGTCTCAAAATCATTCTCCAAAAGACCAGTTTAAGATGAACTCACATTATTGCAGTAAATGTAAAAATGATTTTTGCTACGGTTAGGCCCAATTCCTAACTCTATCAATGTATTTCTTTGAGGTGGTTGAAAATGGTTTTGTTACCCTAAATTATCAATTCCTCAATGGATAGTAACTTCCAACACCTTACATTGATTCATTTTCTTGGAAATGAGATCAAGAAAATACTTGATTTTTTTCTCATCAAGTTAAAACTTCTTAAATATGTAGGGTAACCAAAGACACAGCACCTTCCCTAAGCTGTTTGAAATATAGTGAAGACTGACTGAAGGATAAATTCCTATCCAGCCTTACATTTTTTTGGGCTAGAGATAATTATCATCACATCTTTGTTATAAATGAACACTTGCATGACAATTCACCCTTTAATCCTTTAAATCCGTGGAGTGACTAGCATCTTATTTCTCCTTACAATATCATCTCTAAATTACAGATAAAGGTCATGAGAATAAAGGAAATGATCTCCAATTAAAGAGGCTCATAACTGATCATCAAATTCTCCTTTTCAGCACCTTAGGAAATGTATAGAGAACAGTATGGAGAATGTGCATTTTGATGTTAGGGTATAAAGGGCCAAACAATATGGATCTGGTGAATAGAACTCCCCCCAACTAGGGTAAGCTCACCTGTCCTCACAGAACCCTCTACAACAGTCTCCATTACTCCTCTTCACCCTAAAATTAGTGTGCATAATCAACACACTGTTCTCTTGACATTTCACATGGAATTGGCCAGGAGAATTTGTTTCACAGTCCAGGATTCTCTAGATGGTGATCATTCCCTTTATTCCCATTACCTTATTGTTTGATTCAGCCATGATTCTGTAAGGAGAAACTTGATGCTCATCATTCTTCAGAGTTCAAGGGTTCAGGAGAAAAATCCTCAGAAGTCATGTGTAACGACTTTAGTCTTAAAATTTAAAAGGAAATAAATTAAGCTTTGTACCTGAAACTAACAGATAATCAAGCTCAAGTGAGTCATCATAATTTAAGAAAAAAATAGTGTCAGTTTTTTTTTCAAATCTATAATTTTCTTACCGCAGCCCAAAGTAGAGGTTAGATCGATATGTTCCCCAGAAGCGACTCATTTCCATTTCACTCTTGTTTATAACTAACGGCGCATCGAGTGGCGTGAAAAGACGTGTGGACAATTTGTAATTCCAAAGTTTATACGCTCCAAACAAAAACAATGGAAGACCAAAAACAGCTGCCAGCACTAGAATTGGTTTGAAAGAAGATTCCTTCACCCGGCGCCGAGGAAATTTAGTCCTATCTACATGATCTCTTGAAGAATCAAAGCCGTGTTTTCCTTTCCTCTGTCGTGCCATTTTCGAGAATAATGCTAAATTGAAGGAGAAAAAGACTTGCAAAACTCTGCGAACAACTTTACAGAGGGTCAGCCATCTTGTTACCATGCGGCCGAGAATAAGCTGGAAAGGACTGAGCACTAAGGTAAAAGTCGCGGCAGTCGCCCGACCGACCGCGCGCGGGCGCGACAATCGCGTGCTTTCTGACCCGTCAGTACTTCCGGTTTGCCTCAGAATATTCCGGTTGCAAGACAAATCTCTCGGTCTACCGCAAAGTTTTCAAAGTATCTCAAATGTCGCAAATTTGGATGACGATTTTCCTGTAAGTAATGGGTGAAAAAGCAAATAACTGTTATAAAAAGTAAACTTTATTGTGGTGAAAATAATGAAATTTATTTTCAAGGATTTTTGATTGTTTGCATATTTAATTTGACGAATTTTGATTTAAGAAGTTCCCTTTTTAGCTTATGAGGAGCTTCTACAGCAACGCCTACCTTGTCATTTTTGAAATGCAATCCCCATCTGAATATCTTGTTTTTCAGAGAAGTAAGGGTATTTTACAGGGAAATTTCTGGTCTAACCCCAAAGTTTTGGTGGCTGGGTACACAAGGGAAGTGAAGTGCTTTTAGTTTTGAGAGTCCACTTAACTTCTATTCAAGGTGAAGTTAAATATGAAGCTGTTGTTTGGTCTCATCTCTGCAAGGTTGACAGTGTGGAGAAACTGCTTTAGGTCTTTTAAGACTAAGCAGCAACAGCAAAGGAGACAGACTTAAGGGTAGGATGTCCCCTGTACAATTCCTTTTAAGTCTTTAAGAGATAGCTATGTCGTAGAGAGTCACCATTTAAAGGCTTGGGCCATATGGAAGGATAGGGAATTAAAACTGGTTCAGGGATTGGTAAGGGCAAGAAAGATTGCAGAAGGGTGAAAGGGTAAACTTATGATAAACTCAATAAAAAAGTGAGTTAAAGCTATTTAGTTTTCAAGCCTTTACCCTTGTTTTCCTTTGTAACAAAAGGAAATTTCAGGAATACAGAGTTTTACTTCATGAATATAAAAGGATTGTCAATTTCCATAACTGTTATACAAATGGGTTACCATTTGGTGAAAAGTTGTCAGTGAGAAGTTCATTTGCAAACAAGATTTTATTAGGTACATGTGAACCTCTTCCCTCAACTCATCAATTTGTTTTTCCCTTTCTGGGCCTATGTGGCAACATATCACTGATGTGACAGTCAGTTGTTTGGTTGTTTCTCTGTTTGTTTTTTTGTTTGTTTGTTTTTTGTTTCCCTTTTACTGCTGAGCTGTACCAATAACCAAGGCAAACAAACAGAAAGTTCTTACATCTCCTGTGGCTTAGTATAATCTTATAGTCCATGCAGTACCTGAAGGCACTGCTTAATAACTGCTCATCATTCTTTTTCACAGGTCAATGTCCATCATTCTTGTCTGAATCAGTTTATAATCAACAAACAAGATCAGAATGCAAAACTGGACCTGGATAAAATTATTGTATGCATAACTGCCTGCCAAATAACAAGACCCATGCTCTTTTTATAAATAAGAAATCAAGTAATCCTATTGAGGACAATTGTTTATATTAACAATTATTTTCTTTCTTTGCTATTGGTGAAATGATAGTCTTTAATGAAACCATAAGTATTAAGTAAGTGTCTTCCTGACAGTCTTCCAAGCATTTCTTACAAGTTTAGTTAAGAGAAGTTGGCATTATATAAAGTTGTTTATAGACTAGTATAATTCTCAATTCAGACTACCTGCTTAACAATGTAATTATACTGCAAAGAGACATTTTTATTGGTCACTCCGCGAAAGGCTTTTAGGGAAAGAAGATATAATTCTCATCTGTGTAATTTCAGCCTTTTGAGACTTCAACAAGTACCTTCATCCTTCAAAAATTGTCCTTAATTGTGCTACAATGGAGAGTATGGTCGATTATTGGCACACAAACAATTCAGAAACCTATCACAAAACACCTAAAGGGTGGGAATCAGAACAAACTGTCAGAAAAAAACAAATTGAAAATTTAAAAATGCCTTTTTGTGCAACTCATTTATGTTCAGACACATTACTAAGATTTGACAAAAAGGGGAATGAAACTTTGAAACATCAAAGGTGGCAGCCACAATGCTGAGCAAGATTACAGACAGTGGCATCTTCCTTTGAATTTTTAGCACATTTAAAGATAATTTTCAGGAATATAGACTACTAGATAGAATCTCAATGTCACTAGTGCTATAATTTCATATAAACCTTTAAAAATGGAAATAAAAATAACATGATCTCTGGAGCATACTTCTCCTTTGGGGAATACAATCTACCACTTTGTGAAAAGTGTAGAGAGAAGTGCACCCACCACAGAATTGTTTAACCTGCTGAAACCCCGATCAGAGATCTGACTCTTCATTCTCCCATTACATTTAGACAGCATGTGTATATTGTTAATTCCTTAATCCTTGTAGAGTGCCTGGTTGATAGGGCGTTTATAGTGCAGGGAGAATTTCATAATTGATCAAGAAAGGTGTCCACAGAAAGGAGATAAAGCAAAACAATTAATGTAAAGGAGCTGATTGACTTCAAACTTGTCAAAAGGGTTCTTTGCCCTGCCTCTCCAATGCCATTTCTATAATTATTTTTGCACCTGCAAATGACACCCACAGATGAAAACTTCATATAACCTATATCATCCAACTTGTAATGTCCCATGTATTTCCATTTCAATTTTCCTAGGCTTTTTCTCTAGTTCTTCCTAGGAGAATGTTTTCTTAGATTCTATTAAGTTAAGAAGCATCATCTAAGATAAATAGTCATCACCTCTTGGTACAGGAGGTAAGACAACTGTTGAACCACTAAAAAACTTGACATACAACACCATCTGCTTTTCATCATCTCCATATTTCAAAGCTGAAAAAAAACCTTGAAAAAAATTCTTTCTTTCACAGGGTTTCTTTAAGTTAACTTCTTGGAGAACAAGAGAGTTCATCCACATATTACTGCTGGAAGCAATCAAGACATTAAATCTCATTCCTAAGACCCCCTTCTACACATTACACAAACTTTTCACCAGAATAAAACTGAGAAGCGAAGCCCATATGTACAACTTACAAGACACTTGTCTTATATCTGGATTTCTCTATAATTTAAACCATATAGCATAGCCTGATGTAGCTTAGAAGGTCTTGCGATGAATGGCTCTGGCTCCCTCATCATCATATTCTTTTTTGGACACCCACATCTTCTTAAATGTGTCTAGAGATGCTAAAATAGAGCCCCTAAAATAACAAACAAAAAAGGAAAACTAAGAATTTTGAGATGCTAGGTTTTCATAACCAAACATGTTCCACAACATACTGAGAAAAAGGATCATGACAAGTATTCAAACAAGTGGGAGGTGAACTTACCCAAACCATGTTGAGTAAAGCCTTTCTGGAGGAGCTGAAATCTAAAGACAGACAAAAAATATATAAATGGAATAGAACTCGAATTACCTTCAGTCACACTGATAAAAAAAGTCAGAAATGTTACGTCTCATCAACCAGCCTTTGCTGTAGTTACATGCAGCTTTAAGAAATTTTGTGCAAGATGAATTATTGAGAGTATACAAACCCTAATTTTAATATCTTTTGGTGCCAATTTCTTCACTTCACTCAGCAGCCTATCTCCAAAACCTGTAAAAAAGGAAAAATTGAAACTGATGATGTGTTGTAGTTCAAAATTTTCCTTGCATTGAATTCCTTGTTTTAAAAGCCAGGTCAACCTTTATTTATTAATTTTTTTTTTTGATTGCAAGACAAGGGAAAATAAAAATTAAACGGGTCATAACAGTTTGAATGAAGAAAAATTTTGAACCACAAAATACACAAACTCAAATCTTTCCATCAGGATTACTAGGATACTTGTGCTTACAACATCAATGCATTATCCAGTAAAGTGGAAGGGAAATAATGCAAACTTATCAGCTGGATAGTATTTTCTTCATGTGACACCAAATCTTCTTACCTTTAAACAAGGTTGAGCCACCAGAGAGCACAATGTTCGAATAGAGAATTCGTCTTAGATCCATGTCAGATTTTTGAATAGCAAATGCCAGTACCTAAACAAAAATGAGACCATTATTAAGTTCTAGACACTCTGGCTCAATGTAATTGGCAGTACTGTTATATCAGTCTCCCTTACTTCATGGATTCCTTCACATTCCTCTCCAACCAAGTCAGGTCTAAACAGAAGTTCTGGTGCTCTGAAACGTGCTGGTCCAACCTAAGCGAGACAAGACATGAGTAATTAAAGGCAACTGAACATTTTCTCAACATTATCATAATGGTTCTGTCTCAGCATAACAGTAGGTATAGAGGGTAACTTATGACAGACTAATGTGAAGGAGTAGCAATTCAACCTGAAACTGAAAGAGGCTTCAGTAGTTATTGAAGTCACACTCACGAGATGTAACCTTTATCTAGTTCAGTTTAAGGAAATATTTGAAGCAAAAGTCTTTTACCTCTAAGATGCTTCCATCTGGTAGGGCATATTGCATTCTTTCTCCTTCCATCGACTCCTGCAAATTTGATCAATAATTTTGATCACTGACATTTTCTCAATAAAATGAGTGGAAACATCAAGGCAATGAAATCAAAATTAAATATGTCTCAGAATGTTTAAAATCAATTAAGATCTCCTTCACTTACCTCTTTCTGTGGGTTAATTGCAAGGTAGCAAGCACGCTGGAAAAAGAGGAGTTAAACATTTTTAGTTTTTTATACATTTGTTCAAAAATGTATTTGCATTGACCATTCACAAGCATATTTGCAGTTTCAACATATACGTATTCAAAACAGAATCCAAGATTTTCTCACCTCTTTAATAGTTCTTACTATTTCCAGCTCTGATGAAGAATGAAAGTTGAAGCCTTCCTTTCTCAAAAGCAGTCTTAAATAGGCAGTTACATCTCTGTTGACAGTGCAAAGTAAAGTGATGAATAATAAGTTACTCTCTCAAACCAATCGAAATTAAGGTCCACTTAATGCTCACCAGATGAGAATTAAATAAACAGTACATTACATAAAAAGTAGTTTGATTCATTTTATTATTTGACCCAAAACATACCTTCCAGCAATGTCTGTCCTCATAATTGAGTGTGGCATAGCAAAGCCTTCATAAATAGGGACTGAATGAGACACTCCATCACCAGAATCTAACACCACACCTGTGGTACGACCTGAAGCATACCTAAAGAGTAATGTTTAGTAAGAGTTTGTAAACAGAGGTAAATTTAAACCACAACATAACCAATCGGAATACAGGATTCCCTTCATCTTGCCCACTCCTAGAGCCAGCCATAAACACTTGTTATTTCCATTATCACCTTTAAGCTACTGTTTAAATTATTTCATTTCCATTATCACCTTTTTGCCCAGATTATTCTGTAAATATCATATATAATCATGACAGGGTTTCCTCATTAAAAAAGAATCCCATGAACAGAACTTCCAATAAGGAACAAAAGCAAAAAGATGGTAAGAATTCAATTAAAAACCATTACTTACAAACTAAGTACTGCCTGCATAGATATGAACAATGCTGGAACATTAAATGTTTCAAAGAATATCTGTGGGAAAATTGCATCAAAAGAAAAATGAGTACACCATGGAAACATACTTGAAAGTCACCTTTAATTAGAAGATTTTCATTTTAGACCATACTGAATTGACTTATAATTTACTCTAACTTTTTTCCAAAATTTTCACCTTTCCTAAAAGAACCATCTCCCCATTTTGATATAAATCCATTTCTTGATTCTTTTCATTATTTCTAACCTCCGCTGATTTCTCTCTGTTTCTTCGAGGATTCAGGGGAGCTTCTGTCAATAGCACAGGATGCTAGTAAGAAAAAAATTACCACACATCACATTACTGTCCATACAGGTGTACCAAGGTAATGGTAAAAGAGTATGAAATTTTAGTACTGTATGACACAGATAAAATGTTTACCTCTTCTGAAAATGTTTGAAGCTGGTCTTTGGAGTATATATACTTGAAAAAAGAGTTAAAATGACAACAAATGTCAGTCTGGCAAATAATGTAAAAAAAAAAAAGAAAAGAAATTCCATAAAAGTTTATATCCATCTACCTGCCAAATTCTTTCCATGTCATTCCAGTCTTTTACAACACCATGCTGAAAACACAGATAGGAAAGGATAATTGATTTATTGTCATCAAATAGTCATACTATATTGTTTGTAATATACTAAAGAGAGGTGCATCTTGTTAATAATAACATTATTTTGTTCTGATTTGCACA